TTTCACACCCATATAATGCCATTTTTATAAATTTTTACGAATTAATTTTTTGTTTCTATAGGTTTGTTTTATGATTGCTATTCCAATGTTCTATGTCACCTAGCGTCTTTTCTGATTATACTGCCTAAGTACTTAAAGTTCTTTACATTTAATAATAAGATAGGATAAGCATTGTTGTTTATATTTATTTGACTTTGGCTTTGCAATTTAATTGGCTATTTAGGAGTATTGACTTAATTAGATAATTCAATTCTTATCCATTTAAAAATAAAGTACCAGCTATTATTAAGTCGATAATCGAATGTCATTTCTCTTCAATTGGATTATTAAAGTTTACACAAAAAGTATGTACTCATTGACCTTTAGATAAATCTGAATAAAACACGAGTCATTTTGATACTATTAAAATGTATATATGAGTAAAATTAACAACTTTAAACATCATTATAAAATAATTTATGCAATCAATAACTACAATTCAACATTGACACGTTAGTTTATCAATCAGTGTTTTCAGTTTCGCCATTTGATGGTTTTATTAAGTCTTGCTTCAGCTATTTATCTGTTATAGATATTCGTATACAAGTTTTTACTCACGACTTCGTCTACGTGACTAGGACAAAAAGTAGCCCTCCTCCCAAATAGCACATGTGATCTACAATACGACGATCGGAATAACAATAAAAATAAATATTTTTTTATACCACTGAGGTGATAAACCAACATTCGGCCCATCTGATGGTAAGCGGTTACCTTAGCCTGTGAAAGCTTACAATAACAGGGGATTTACTGTTGTCGATCCTGAAGAAACCTCTTATTTATAACAAAATAATTATAATTTTTAAGAAACTTAGAGTGACAAACAAGCTGACAGTCCACCTGATGGAAAGTGGTATCCGTCGCTTATAGACATGAGCAGTACCATAGACAAATCAGAGTATACCGTTTCCCCATGATACCCCCCATACGTAGCCATTTCTGAGGACTCAGGTGTTATTCCTCTGTACACTGTATATTCAATGCCATATCCCACCCTTCAAACCAAAACAACTGCTTCATGGTAGAAACACGAATGGGACAGAGGCGCCAAAGCAAAGAACTTTTGTACAGTCTCCCTCTAGTAATTTTACTATAATATTTTTTCTGATACTTATACGACTTGTCAATAGATAAAAATGGACCTTATTGTAGTGAAACATTTATTTTGTAAGACAGTGTATATACATTATATATATACATTTGTCGGTATAATTAATTATAAGGTGATTTAATGTAAGTAAGTATACGATAATATTTATAGTTTTTGATTACACATGTGCATGATTCATCAATCGATATACAGGAGCTTATTGAAAGATTTTTATTGTCAAGTAATCTAGATTATAGTAATCATTTATGGCTTAATATTACCTATAAAATTTAATGCAGCTATGTTTTGCAATGTGTAATTTTTGATAATATTATGAATCATCAAAAGATCTGTTAGCTTATTTTTATATCTATATCCTTACTAATATTATAGATGAGAAAGTGAATTTATCAGAAGGCCTACCATGAAATGTATTCCGAAATTTTGGATCCGAATGAAACACAAAATTGATGTTAAAATTACATGATACATACCGTTTAAAAATATAAAAAATTTAAAGTATCGTTCCTTTGGACTTTTACAGTAGAATTTATGACAAACGAAATGTTAAGCTTCATTTACAGGATCGATTTCGGTACGAACAAAAACACGAAATTGAGACCAAAATTCGGTATTTTATTTCATGGTAGACCCCCTGTTTATTACTTTATAGTATCTTTATAGTACTATGTGTACGGAATGGAGAAGGATATATATAAGGATAAGGCTACTTTTATTAATATAAAATACAAACAATATTATTTTGATTATAGCCAACATATTATATATATACTATTCTTTATTTCCATATAATTAGGTATGGATAAAACGATAAATGAATGAAATGACTTCAGCCGTGGAAAAATTAGTTATTTTAATTTAAAAACTATATTATTAAACCAATTTTGATAAAAATTCTATATAATATTATTTAAAAATAAATTATTTTTAAATGACGATGTTATGAGGCAACAAACATAAAAAAATATTATGGAATACATTTATTATATGTTTCATTATAAATATATTTGAAGACGGATTTAGACTAAAAATAGTTAAGCAACGAAACTGCTTCTTAATGCTCCTTACATGTTTGAATTAAATAAAAAATAAGTAGTAGAGGAAGAAATTGAAAATATGTTTATAATAGTGTTCATTTACATATCAAACATTATTAAAATTATTTGGAATCTAGTAGGTGTTTTATTTTTATTATTATATAAATTAATAGGTATTATTATATTAATAATCAAAAAATAAAGTCAGAGATCAATATTTTTGATGAATAATCAGGATATTTTCTATTTACTACTTAAAAAAATGTTTATATTTAAACTTGTACTATGTTTATTATAAGTACAGGTAAATTTAGTAGTTCTTTTTAAAATCATTTATTAATTTAAACGGATACAATTTCTATAGAAAGATCATAAATTTGCATTGCAACTCTATTTATTAATCGTCTGTTCACTTGACACACTTTGGTCCGTAAAGTCTTGTACATGTTGAATATGATTTATCTATTTAATCGATGTACTCATTACTCAAAGCTCTATTATGTTATGATGATTTGCAAGTTCAAGACATTTAATATCAACGATATGACATATGACATAAATAAGAAGTTGACTATTCTGTAAAGTAAGCCGGTTACAACATCAGGTCAAGGTCACCGTTACTCGTTTGCCAAGGTCACCAAATTTCATATTATTCAAAGTGGATTTCTACATCGATATTCAATAAATAAATTTATATCGAACATAGTTATAACCTTTTCATCAAAACAAATTAGAGAAAAATACAGTGGAATTAACACGACTTATTTTTTATTGCGTGTTTTGATTTAAATTATTCTTTAAAAGGAAATTCTATGACATATTGATTAATCTGTATAAAATCAGACTTGTCCTGACTGACTGGTCGATCTATCAACGAACAGACTGTCTGTTTCATAAATTTTTAATACATAGTCTTCCTGTCATGAGTCTTCCTGAAGGGATTGTCGCTAATAGGAACTCTAATCCCTATTGTATATATCTTGTCAGGTCGACTTCCATACGTTACCTCTTCTTATTTGTTACATTGGGCCAATTAGCCTTACTTCGTTTTCATCTATCACCCTTTTTTGTGACGGTAGATAATGCTTTCTAAATGCTTTAATAGAATACCAGTGCAGAATGGAGTTTCCTTACCATTAAAAAAGGTCTTCAGTGGACGTGAAATTTTGTCCTCTGCTGATTTAATTATAACTATCTTAAAAAGAATGAAAGTTCTAGAAAATAAATTATTCAACGAAACACACGTTTACTTAGTAGGAGGTACTGCCATTAACATAGATTAACACATCGGTGAAGTGTCACAATGTTACTTCAACTTGGTATGTTGATATTTGGATATAAGTTATGTACATATTATGCTAATCGAGTTAAGAATAATAGATCGACAGATACTCTTTACTGTTTCCTTCTAAAGATTACAGTAGTAAACTCATCAAAATAAAAAAAAAATACAATAAAGGTCATAATACTTCTCAAGGATGCAAACGTATGAGTGGGATCATAGGCATCATGGTGTATTCAAATTATTAGATAAATATAGTAAATTTTTAAACCAACAAATCAAGCCGAATGTTACGTTCGACGTAATTGATATCTGAGATGACCAAGAGAGAGTTGTCCGTATCGAGTTAAGAAATGTAATAGCTATGTTCAACTTAAAGACAAGTGAAAAATAATTCATTGAATCAAGATTTACTGTTTACCTTTATGCCCTTCGAAAATTGATATATTGTGATAATACGAAAAATCATTGTGTAAAATTTTTTATTTAACAAATAATAACAATGTTTAAAAAGTAACTAAAGTAATCAACAACAATAATAGGATTTGTCTCATAAAAATAAAATAAATATAAAAACAGTTTATCGACTTTAAAAAGTATCAAGATTGATTCAAAGCGTGTATATGGAGGCAATAAAATATATATATACACGTATTATCTAAACTCTCTAAACTCGTTTAAAAGTACTTCCTTTAAAGATATCTTGAGATAACTAAAGATAAAATTATAGTTTAGCATTTTGACCACAGTTTACAACTTTGTGGTATATACATCTGATGAGGTGAGAAATTTAAAACCCAATCGAAGTTGATAGAAATATAATTTCAACTGTAGGAAGTAAATATAGTTCTGTGTCGAATAGAAAGTTCTTGCGACCTTAGCAGTTAGGCTTTTAGAGATCTTTTAAGAGGGAGGCTGCTGCTCATCCCTCGTTCTCTCTTAGTCGTCTCTTACGACGCCTACTGGAAAGGAAGGGTGGCCCATTCTATGCCGGGGGACATACGGCGTTTATTCATTAAATAAAAATTATTATTATTAATTTATTATTATTATTATTCATTAATTTATTAACTTTATAAAGCAAAGGCTACTTTGGATTTTGTACATATGACTTTGATTTTTTTATCAACATTATTAGATACTGTTTTTTTTTTCCCTCTACCTTCGCATGGATTTTAGAAGTAGGCAAAGCCATGAAATGCATTAAGATCTAGAAGCGAATTAAGATTAAAAAGTAATATAAGAATTTAAGTTAGACCTACAGATATATACTGTGAAAACTGTATCCAATTTGGTGTAGTAGTTTTGGTGTACTGTCAGAATAAATAAACTGATAAATAGACAGGCAGATAAAAATTCTAAAAAATATTATATTGTCATGCATTGGTCTTCTTAAGACCGTGTATATTATTTTTTCTTAAATATTTTCCACGTACAGACATCGTCTGATTATAATTTTTATATGAGTATATTAGTATTTTTTTTTTGTGTTAATAAGATATAAAAAAATGACTCGTAATATTTTTTACAGGTAAACGCAGAGAAGTCCTTAAAGGCGTCGATGGAAAATTTTTATCTGGACAGCTTGTGGCAATCATGGGTCCATCTGGTGCCGGCAAAAGTTCGCTTCTCAATGCTATATCCGGATACAGGTTTGTATTAAGTCCTTACTGTACATTAGACTTAGATAATATTTAACTTATCGCTGAACTATCGGACGTCTAAAAGATATTTGTTTTAAATAACAGTTGTGATAATCTTGGTGGTGTAGTGGTTCAATACATCAGTTCAACTTTCGATGCTCGCAGATTAGATTCTCGCACAATACAAATATTTGTATTCATGAATATGTATGTCTGTTTGTATTGGTCGGGATGTTTTTTGTATCACAATATATAGTTAAATATAATAATAAATAGTGAGACTATCTAGATCTTTTTAAATTTATTATTTTGTTAGTATTAAATATTTATAATAAATTTGGAGATATCAGGTTCAAAGTTTTAAATATGCGATATAGATAACTGTAACTTTCATGTAGGTATATACATATATGTAGATTTTTCAAAATTTATTCATAACTCATTTCCATTACAAATTTATATATATCTTTATTTTATCATGTTTTATTTAATTACAAATTCGAGAAAATAGCAAATATTCCTTATAATAAAAAATGTTTAAAAGTAATATTATTTTAACTATTGATTAAAATAATATTACTTTTATATTAATCATATATTATTTTACTTTTTATAAACCGTTCCATTAGTGGTGCAGTAGGAACATATGCCTGTATAACATTTATAAATAAGGTAGTGTATTTTACTCATTTATTTGTTTGTTTTGGTTCAAATTGGCAATAAATAAGATACTTACTTATTTAAAAGAGAATTAAAATATTTTAGCTACTGGCATAACTGGATAAATACATAACATCTTCAAACAATGAAGAAATGGATATGAAGTTAGTGGTGTCCAAAAATTGCCTTTGGTCACTTTGATAGACACTGATTGATCACCTTATTAGAGGGAGACTATATAAGAGTCGTCAGCCTGGGTACCTCTATCCTATTCGTATTCCTGCCCGTAAGCAGTTGTTTGCTGTGTTTCGCTTTGAAAGGTGAGATATAGCAATAAAATTACTGGGTACAGAGGCATTAATTCAAGTCCTTTTATGTTCAGAAACACAATGTCACAGTATTTCATATTTTGTTGTTTTTCATTGTTATTACTAATCATCATGCATATTAATTATTTATTGTCAAATATTATGATGTAAATTTACTGTCATTATTCAAATATATCGATAAAATTTATGAAATTTTAAAAGGTCGCAGCAAATTAATATATTGCTTGCTTATTTTCGTTGGGTACTTTATATTTAGGTAAGATATTTAAAATATGAATTTACTTTAATAAGTAGGTACTGCACAATTTTTTTTTATATAAGACGATAATGGAATGGAGTTCCCGCCTGCGCTAACGGTATACACTGGCGGTGTATCAGTAATGGGATTATAGGTGAGGATGAAAAGGCAGGTACATTAGCCCATCGTGATGAATTCAGTTGCAATTGAACACGATGGTTTCCAATGAGAACCGCGAGGAGATCAACCTGACAGGGTGTATTGCTAGCAATGGAGTTACTAATCCTCATTATTAACAATTTTTCTTCCCCCATTATCACATAGTTACATCGCTTAACAATTGTCTGGTGTTCAAGCTAGGATACGGATTGTTATAAGGCATCAGGCAATGAACTTCTGGGGGCACAACCAGAACACCTAGATTGGAGCCACATCAGAAAAGTTCGCTTTCTAAATTGGTACTTCCGGGAATCGACCCTGAAACTCATTTACGCAAAGCAACGCGGCCACCGCTGCGACACGGAGATCGTCTAATTTTATATTTTCATCGTGAAAGTGCCAAGTAAAAACTTAATTGTAATTATAAATGTAGGTTCCGAACTCATTAGGAGCCCTTATTCATGAGCACGGTTCACGGCTGTGTCACGAGCTATTGACTTAAGTTATAGTGTAAATAATTATAATACATTATGATTCACGATAATTATTATAAACATAACATTATTTTTATAATAATGAATTCTGTTGTTCGTGACACACAGTCCAATTAGAGGAAGTTGAATTACATTTTGTATCGAAAAAAAAAAACTATTTCAATTGTAAACACACAGACATAAATAAATTACGAGTGTGTTCCACAGGAAAAAACTGACATCAATTATGGCAAAACTTATTATTTTGATTTAAAAATTACTGAACCGATTTTGATAAATATTCTATGTGACCAATATGAAAATATATACCTTCAGATATACAATTAAAAAATGAGGTACTGAACATAAAAGAATACAACTAAATTGAAACGTTCTTTTATAGAATCGGTTATATATATTTGAATACATACCTATTTGTATTTAAATTTCGCGGAATCAATGGCGCGAATTTTAATGTTACTTAAAGAAAAAACGAGAGTCAATGTCAAAGTAATTATAAAACATTTATATGGAGTATGAGACACCGTCAATGCACCCACACTATTAGCACAGGTGAGAGTACCATTCCATCCTTATTTATTAAAAAAGAAGACAGTATTCTAGTGATTAGTAGAACAGGATATCCTAGTACCAATACCAGTCTCTTACAAAATTTGTAATATAATATGTATTTAGTTGTAACTTAATTTTAAGTGCTATACGTTTTTGTAAGATTTTTTTATTACAAATTCATTTTATTTATAAATAGTTATCTTTAATTCCTGTATTCTATTATATATATTCAAAGAATATATAAAATGTTAGTATAAAGAATCAATTATAAGGTGATATATTATATAGAGCTTAGAATTATTATATAATAAATATAGAATATTGAATTATATTTTTAACTAGCTTTTTGTTCTTTATTTCGTACGTGTGGATTTTAAATGTAGTAAAACTGTTAAAATAGACTAATTCTAGATGATGTATTAGAATAAAACACACAACTTTTTAAGTTAGACCTTTGGAAATACATGTGTAAAACCACATCTATTTTGGTACAGTATTTTTTGCGTAATACCAGAACAAACATAGACAGACAGACAGATGTAAGTTTTCTAAAAATTTTTGTATTGGCTGTTATTCTACTGCTTCCATTAAAACCTCTTATATAATTTTTTTTAATATTTTTTACATATATATAGTCCAGTTACAGTTTTATTATATTTCTTCAGGGTCGGCAACGCACGCGTAATACCTCTGGTATTGCAGGTGTTCATAGGCTACGGTAACCACTTACCATCAGGTGGGCCGTATGCTTGTTTGCCACCTCAGTGGTATAAAAAAAAATTGTAGGATTTTTCTCATGAGCTGTTGTTAACTTTGTTTTGGAAATGAAAAGAACAGGGAACACATTGTATTATTACTTGTACACTGTTGATATTATGACTTCTGTTAATGATAATGATCAAAATTATAATGAATATATATATAGAAGAATTATAATGAGGAAACACTAAAGCAGAAGATACATTATGATGACGTCTTTCTATGATTTGCGAAGAGACAAACTTTATAAATAACTTTTATGTTATAATAATTTAAATGTACTAAGAGTTTGTGGTAAGAATTACAATGATACGATTGTGTTCTACGTGATTTGAATGAGTATTTATCGCGCGGTGCATTGCTTTAGCCATATAAGCATGTTTTGTGAATTGTGGCCAGTATATGTACTGCGTATAGGTACTTGTGTACTTGTATATAAGTATCTATTGTTTGAAAGAGGTACAAAAAATTAAACTAGAATACTGATTTAGCGGAAATGAAACGATGTTTCCAAGTATAGAAAAAAACTAATTATCACCAGAGACACATTAAAATTCTTTAGCGGCATTGTTTGGATTTTATTAGGCCTTCTTTTATTCCGCTATCATTAAAGGAACGACTTTAACATATATTACTACAATACTAAAGAGAAATTTAAATTGTTGGCAACTTTTTGCTTCAAATTAGACTACAGACGAAGCAAACACTATTGGGTGAAGTCAGAATCATTAGCATCATTTCATGAAAATATTATATTAGTAGAACTGAATATTATAATAATATATGCGTGAAATTTTTATTTCTTTATGTTTATATTATACTACATTGATAAGGTATTCCCTAAAAGGATATTAATGATTTGAATATCGTCATTAATAACACTAATTACCATTTTGTGTTATAGATACATTCTTTCGAATCAATTTGAAAAAGCTCTAGTAATTGAGAAATAATTTGGATTGTTGTTTGTTTAGTACATAATTTTTTTTTATACAACCTAGAATGGCAAACAAGCTGACGGCCCACCTGATAGAAAGTGGTAACCGTCGCCTATAGACATGAGCAGTACCATGGACATAACAGAGTATACTGTTTCGCCCATGATACCCCCCATGCGTTGCCATTCCTGAGGACTTAGGTGTTATTCCTCTGTACCCAGTAAATTCACGCCATATCCCACCCTTCAAACCGAAACACAGCCATGCAAACACAACTGCTTCACGGTTGAAACACGAATGGGACCGAGGTACCCAAGCAATTGTCTTTTGTTTAGTACATAATATGTTTTCAAAGTGCAACTTTTTCTACAGGTCAGCGGGTGTTACTGGTGATCTCTTGGTGAATGGTGAGCCCAGAAACGAGCATCAGTTCCAGAGATCATCATGTTACATCACCCAAGAAGATCTGCTCCAACCCCTGCTAACTGTTCGCGAAGCAATGGACGTTGCCGCCAAATTGAAATTACCAAAAGGTGGAAAAGTGCATTCAGAGGAAATACTTCAGGAGTTGGGTTTGTTGGAGCATCAGCACACAAAGACTGATCGATTATCTGGTGGTCAAAAGAAGAGGTGAGTTTTTGGGCTTAATATATTTATTATATACTTTCTTCAATGTTATTTCAGTTATTTATTATTATCATCCACTGCTAAATATAGGATTCTCCATAAACTGCCATATAGGACGGTCCTGAGCCACCTGCACCTACCTGACTCCCTGCATTTACCTATTTTATTTTTACTGATGCAATAATATTAGGATGGTTATTGTTTCATTAATAAACAAATGACTAGAAAGGACTATTAAGCGCGATATATATACATACACATAAATACTTTTACCAGGGTAGACTTTGTATAAGTCGTTTGCTTGGGCACCTCTCTCCCATTTATGTTTCTACCGTGAAGGGTGGGATATGGCAGTGACGGTTACCATTTTCCATCAGGGGGGCCGTCAGTTTGTTTGCCAATCTATGTTCCATAAAAAACTACATATGTAGTTACAAAAATAAAAATAAAAAGAATTTGAGTATGCTAATTAGGCACAAATTAGGAATATGACAATTTGCTCAGATAGAAGTCTTCAATTTTTGTTTTAAAACTTGGCAGCTACTGTATACTTGTACAAAGAATAAAACCTTTTGAAATATACTGGTGTCTTCGGTATTTATATGAAATCGATTATTAATAATTAATCATAATGTATGGCGTATTGAAAGATATATTTAGAGCTCGATGCGCTATTATTATAAAGATCGTTTGTTTTTATAATTTACAAGTAAGATATAGTCTAGTTGAAAGTCTTGATTGTTTATTTTACATGTTTATAATTGAATTGGCAAGCCCTTATTTAATATTATAAATGTTAAAAATTGCTTGTTTGTTAAGTTTTTGGTGCATAACGGCTCAGGTATTATTATTTGTATTATTATCCTGATTTTTTTTATGGATTAGGATGGAATGATGCATCTATGCAAAAGGTGCACAATGAATACAATATGCATAATATTTGGAATAGAAAAAGTCATGCGGGCCATGTCGTGAAAAACTAGTTAATAAATTAATGCAAATTTTATTCTTTGTTTTAATTTTTCATATTTTCTTTTTTTTACATTTCAAATAGTCTTGGTCGTATTATATCTTAGGTGTTCATGTATTACAATTCTTTTCTTATCTATCCATTGTTTTTATTATAGAACCGTCATGTATACACGTGCAGTGCATATTATCGGCCATAAATATAGCGTAAATAATATATAGCCATTAATTAATACTTACTCGCTTGTCGACAGATGAACTCAGGCATTTCCTTATAGGCACTATACATACAACACATAAATTAAACTACAGTGTTAAACAAAATAAATGAGCTTAATAAGTGCAGGTGCCTTTAATGAACTTGCTCTCTCTCTCAAGTACATTCGCGAGACTGGGGAAAAAGTAATTATATAATTTTTTATCTCAAATTCTTTTAACAACTTACCATCATTTCAGTTTTTATCTGTCCACTGCTGAACATAGGTCTTCCCAATAGATTGTCATAAGAAACGGTCGTAAGCCACCTGCATCTACAGACTTCCTGCAATGCATTTTAGGTCGTTACTTCATCTGGTGGAGGGTTGTCCTACACTGCGTTTGCCTTTCTTTTTCCTTTTTTTCCATCGATTGTCAGTTCTTCGAGCTATATGACCAACCCATAGCCACTTCAGTTTATTTATCCTTCGGTCATTTTGGTTGTTTTGCATATATACTCATTTCAGATTCTGTCACGCAAAGAAACTTCGAGCATGGCTCTTTCTACAGCACGTTGAGTAATTTGATGTTTTTGCATATGAGAAACCGTGTAGGGCCATGTTACGGTTCCATACGCTATCACTGGTAATATGTACTGGTTATAGACCTTCGTCTTCAAATTCTATGTGTATACCAAATTTCATGATAATTGGTTCAGCCATTAAGGTACCAAGTTAAACGCTAAGCATTTTGTTAAGTACTCAATAGTTACTAACAAAATCTCTTTCACATTTCTGATAACAATAAGGATGAAGAAATATGATATTTAAATTCCAATATCATAGATGAAACTTGAAATTCAGGAACGGATATAACTGATTTCGCGCAAGTAATGTCGCGGGAAATAGCTAGAGTAGAATGAGGGATAAGAAATAATTATTAAAAATCATTTTTTTTTTATTTGGCCCTAAGTCACTTTTTATTAGTGTAGTAGTAGTAGTACTTATATATTCGGGCCACTTAATTTTAATGTGTGTAAATAAATGTTTTTTTTTTGTATGGCCCTCTTTTCCGCTATATCTTTGCCAATTCTGAATCAATTTCATACAAATTTTAAGACTAAAGACTTTAGTAAAATATTTAATCAACGGTGAATAGTTAACTGTTGATATGATGATGATGATGTTACTTACTATTTGTGAGTTCAAGGAATCGGATACTTCGTATGAAGGGACCTATAAAGTATCTCTTTTTATTATGCTTAGAATGGCAAATAAGGTATTAATTTCAAGTTGGTCATAGTTTTTGTTTTTATTAAGAATCAAACCAGTCTGAATGTACCTAATTTGTGCGATGCAACGAACACGTCCGCTGTACTACGTAGGTCGCCATTCATTATAATTTTAATACCTACCTACCGGATTATATTGACATAATGCGGAACAAGAGACGGTCATTGACCCAGGGCGTTGCACTCAAGTGTTTATCAATTTTATAATCTTATTCGATTCATTAAGAAAACTCGATCGATTAAAATTTGCCCTTCAGTAAGACTTCTTTAATGATTGTTTTATAAATTATCTTACCTTAAAAAGTTAAATTTGCGATAGATAGGCGTATAATATATGGTTACATGTGTTACAACATATACTACCAGGGGACTGGGATTGTTAGTAATGGAGTCTAATTGACACATTGCTAGCAATATACCCTATTAGGTCGACCTCGACGCGATTCCCCCTGGAAACTGTTGTGGTTAATTCCAGTGGAATTCGTCACGATAGCTAACTGACTTGCTTTCATTCTCACCTGTCATCCTTCACTGGTGTCCCGCCAGCGTATTCCGACAGCGCAGGCGGAGTTACCACTCCATTATCACCCATTAAAAAAAAACATATACTACCTACGATTAACTGGTGTACTACAGGAGGAATGTGGGCCTTGTTTTGAGAAAGATTGGTCAATAAAAGAAAGTCTACGTTATTAAAAATATAATGTGTTTAATGGATTAAATTTTATTATTTATCAATTACATTTTGGCAGACAAAATTACAAAATAAAACATTATTACACTGATTAAACAGTATTTAATCACTCGGACAGAGTTTTGTTGTGTTTCATTTAAATATTAGATTATGATAGATAGTATTGACGCAAATAGGAAATAGTTTTATGTATATTACTTTTATGTAAATTTTGGAGGCTCAAAAACATTACCCTTTTATGTTCAACGGACGCGTAATATCTCATTTATCATCATAATCTCAGCCAATATCTGTTCACTGCTGAACATAAGCCTTACACATAGACTGCCATAAGGAACGGTCCTTAGCCACCTGCATCCACTGACTGTCGTTCTACACTGTGTTTGCCTGTATGGAGTCACGACTCAGGAACCTGTCTTCCCCATTGGTTCTTGGTTTTTCATAATTGTAAGGTAGAAAGTTATGTAACCTACAGAATCGTGGCTTAATGATTTTTAAAGCTGGTTTAAATATGATTAATTCAATAAAGGAATAAATCAAATTTATAATCCAATTATTAATTAATCAAATTATTAATAAGAATAATAAACCCGATTGATGGCTATTGTTAATTTAAAAGAGATAAAGAGATAAAACGGTTCAATAGTGAATATAGGTTGATGAGAGGGTTGACTTTTTATGAATAAGGGGGGTTATATAGAATCTAAAGGAACCAACATTAGTGTAATCTCTTTTGATAAATAACATATATATATATATATATATATATATATATATATATATTGGTGACTACATAATAGACATAGAAACAAAATAGTCATTTTTAGAAAACGGTTTTCAAAATAAAGTATTTAAATGAAGCACTAGAAATAATTAAAATAAAATTGACAGTGATGCAATATGCACGTAAGTAGATACTGAAGTAATAAAAACAAGTACAATAGGCGACAAGCAATTTATTCTGCGATTATAAGTTGTTTGAAACAATAAGCCACAAGAAAAATTACCTGCAATGGCTAAAGATATCAGAAATCCTTGGGAAACAATGATTTGTTTCACATTAACGCGGTAGATCTAGGTTTTAATATAACTAATGTTGTTTATTTTAAATTTGCTTTTGACCGCAACTTCGTATGTGTATATTTTGAAAGTAGTAAATAATTTAAAACAAATCATTCACCAGATTTCAATTTCAACCTTTAGGAACTTTGTGATGAAAACTGTATCTAATTTGTTGCAGTAGTTTTAGAAACAAACATACAACATTTGTACAAGTTATATATATATATATATATATATATATATCTTCTGAAATATACGTCATAGCTTAAATATCACGTGACCGACTGTTATTATTTACAAAAATTGTCAAGCAGCCAAGTAGATAATGATGAAAATTAATTATAAAACAATGCCTTTACAGGTTATCAATTGCCCTGGAGCTGGTGAACAATCCGCCAGTATTTTTCCTGGACGAACCAACTAGCGGTCTGGATACAGTGACCACGGTGCAGTGTGTCAAACTGCTGAAACAGTTGGCCCGACAAGGCAGAACTGTTGTATGCACCATACACCAGCCTGCAGCATCGTTGCTAGAACTTTTCGATCAGGTAAGATAAGTTATACAGATATTTCTTCCCGGTAAAAAGTGGTAAAGGTTATCTGTGGATATGTATATCACAACAAGATATATCTGTAATGCGTCAAACATGGTATCTTGATGAGGTGTTATGTCTACTTGTAGCCATAATCATCAGAGAATTTATGCAAAAAATGCATTGAATCACTCCTTCGTTGATTGAATGAGTATATCACACAGGCATTACTAATTTAGAGCGGAAATAGGTAATGATCCTTGTCGTAGAACAGAGAAAGATACGTGCATAGATTACCATCATCAGTTAGTATTATTATAACAGACAAATAAATTTTTATATTTTTTTTTATTTGGATTGAAATATTTATATTATTATTATGAATGTATATGGTTATTATTATTATGGGACAGTAGGTAGAATCGATTATAAAAGTTGAAGTCAGTATAAACACAATACTTACCTTTGCTTCGTGACGAACGGGGTTAGTAGGGTGCGTAATTATCATTGTTTACCGTTGTTATTATTATTTGTCTATCAAAGTTAATTGGGCGCAGTTCTTGATAGGAATAGTGTACCTTAAGACCATTCATAACTTTAGCTTACTGATGTGTGGTAATGTAGCAATTATTGTTGCATATAAATCTACTACTTAAAATTGTGTACCTACTTCATATTTTGTTTTAGAACGTTGCAATTAATTTTTGCCATCAATATCCATATTGTTAATAACAACTTTATAAGAATATTATTGTATGATTATCGTTTTAGTTCGCTAAAAGAGAACTTGTTTGTCTAGTTTTATTTGTTTGAAAATTGTCACAATATTGTACACCGCTCCACCCGCAGACATTGATGCTCCTTTCTACTTTGGATGCTGAAAGAGAACTGTAAAAGAGTTAAGCTCATCTTTTTACATTTGCTTACCTTTGTCATATTTCTTAGGGCGTGCAATAAATTATTAAAGTAAAACTTTGACAATATTTAATTTGTATTTGAAAATTCACACACAATTGCGACATACGCGTAGGTACTATATAAATGCTTCTTAATTCGTATAGGACAGTAGGTACTTAACAGAAATTGGAGAGGTTTGTAAGAAATTTTGCTAGTCAAATGGACTAGATATTTCAATATAATTACAAAAAATCATTAATGTTTTCTACTGAACACATAGTGTTAGGAATTTCTTTATTTAAATTGGTATACTCTATTCTTTCAAATGCTTCTTGAGATACCCTGGAGATAAAAAGGCATATACATACTGTACTATTATCACATCTCCACAAAGACTATTGTCGGCATGTTAATTTATAAACAAATATTATAATAGATTTTATTAATGAATGAAAATGGAATGAACCTTTGCTATTGGTATACAATGGTAGGGCTCTGACAGAGGATGTATATCAGCTGACCCGTCGTGTCAAATTAGCTAAGAATTAACCAGATGTTTTTCTAGAAGAATTGCGTGGTGATCGACCTGACAGTATATCGATAATAATGGTGATTTATTAGAGAAAGTTTATTAATAACGTAGTGTCTCCATTACTAACAATCCATATCTTCCCAAAAATGACATTAAATATATTATTTTAAAGTAATAAACAATCTCCTTCTAGGTATACGTGATAGCAGACGGTCGGTGTATATATCAAGGCGATACTGCGGCTATGGTACCTTACTTACAGAGCATGGGATTGCCGTGTCCGAGGCATCATAATCCAGCTGATTTCAGTATGTATCTATTTTGTTTTTTTTTTTTTAATACTGCTCAAATTGGCAAACAGGTTGACGATCTTGCTTATTGGATAAGGTAGTCGTCGCCTATAGACGTGACTGCTACGAGTATCATAGATATTCTACTGAAAATTGCGAAAGTTTGTAAGGATGGATGGATGTTTATTACTCTTTCATGCAAAATATCTAAATGGATTTTAATTTTAATAAAATTTGGTACACATATACACTTGTATATGTGTACCAAATTTTATACATATACACTTTTGTATTGCCATTTAAAAATACGAAGGTCTTATGTAGACCTCTTTTTTTAATGAATGACAGTGAAATGGTAGCCCATCGGCGCTATCGGTATACACTGGCAGTGTACCAGTGAGAGGTGACAAATGAGGATGAAAATCGTGACAAATTCAACGATAAATTAGTCACGATAGTTTCCAGGGGAAACCGCGAGGAAGTCATCATAGCTAGCAATGGAGTTGCTAATCCCCATTACTAACAGTCCCTTCTCCCCTATGTAAACTTCATGTGCTGGTTTATATAAATCTTTGAAGATTGTATCGTTTCTTATGTTTGCGACAGAAACATTCATAATAACTGTTTTTTAAACATCGTCTGTTGTATTGGTTTACGCTATGGGGTGCAAGTGAAGGATGATAGGTGAGGATGAAGTCACATCAATTAGCCTATTGTTATTAGTAATTGACAGCGCTGTTTGTACTATATTCGTACAGCTGTCTAATCAATATCGTAAACAGAATTGTTCCAAATGATGTATTCGTTTGGCTTGTTTTGCATATTATGTACTATTGTATGCTAATCTACCATTTGTATATATATATATAATATTTTTTTAGGTACATATTCTTACTTGGTGTCTACATATACTATCTACATACTATATATTCTATCTTGCGTGTGGTCCTGGCATAGAATGGGCCACCCCTTCTTTACCCATGGGTGTTGTAAGAGGCGACTAAGGAAACTTATTGGTCGGAAAATGGACAACAGCGTCCCTTTTAAAATGTCACCATAAATTTACGGTTGCCAACCCGCTTGCCAAGCGGAGCAGTTATCAGCAATCTCCCCTTACGGGGAAGGTTTATGTTCAACAGTAGACAGTTAACGGCTGGTTTATACCATTATTGATATAATGATTCTTACTTGGGATTATATATTACTTATTTATTGGGATTTTATATCTGATTAAATATGTGTAATATTATTATTTAAATGGGTTCAGTAATTAAGTAGTGAAAACGTAAGAAACAACAAATTTACTCACTTTGTGCTATGTGCGTCAATTATACTCATATTCACGTTATTGATACTCCAAATAAATATAATTAAACTATTTCTCGTGTCTTTGCCTGCATATATTGATACATAAAGTATATATACACCGTATGTGTTAAGTTATCATTTACAAGTATTAAATATCATTCAAATCCGTTCAGCCGTTTTAGCGTGATTCAGTAACAAATATTAAAATATTAGAAGAATTAGGGTAGGTGTATTTTGTAGAGTATGAATAGGTAGGTTAAATGGTATTTATATATTATACTAGCAGTATCCCGCTGCTCCACTCGCGTAATTCAGTGCATAACGTATTCTATATGCTTTTTATAGCATTTTATATGTGAATATTTTGATTAATATAACTTTTATATTTATAAACTGATTGAAATATTAAATACTAAATATTAAGTGGAGCAAACCGCAAAGCATTAGGGAGAATCGCATTCAAATCGGTTAAGCCGTTTCTGAGATTAGCGTGTACAAACGTACATCATTGTTTTGGGTTCTATTGCGTTGATAAAGCCCCTTAAAATAGTTTTTCTTATATATCTTCTATGTACAGACAGCGATCAGTTACGATTTTATTATATATATATATTGATTGATATATAAAAATAAAAATATTTGTCTACTTCCAGTTATAGAATTAACAGAAAACCCAGAGTACATCGATATCTTGTCACATGAGATGATGAACGGGAAAATTTATAAATCAGCCAAAGTAGAGAGATCGTCGAATCAGAAAGAGCCAGCCAGTACGATAGAGTTGAAGATATGTTACCAATCAGAAGACGAAGTAGCTGAAAGGGAGATAATGCTGACAAATGAGAAATGCACATACAAAGTACCAGGTTATGTACAGAATGGTTCCATTAGCTCGTCATCGAGTCAACTCTCACAAATGAACTCGTCCATGGCTTGGATGAAGGTGCAGACATCAAACGAGTGCGGAACGTACGCGACTTCATATTGTACACAGTTCTCAATACTTCTCTGTAGAATGATGATACAAATTTTTAGGAATAAACAAGGTGAGTGGAATCCAAAAAATATACATGTAAATATATAAATAAAATATACACCAAATATTTTTAGGTAAATTTACCGACGTATCTCGTAATCATTGAAACGATGTTTCCATCACTAGAAATAATATATAGTTAATCTACTTTCGGAGACAAGCTGACGGCGTACCTAAAAGTAAATAGCAATTAGTGATGTGCCGGATCGTTAAAATGTATATTCTTCGATACGAATATAAATATGGATCATTAGTATCTAGATTTAAATCGTATCCTTGTAGATACGATTTCAGAATAGTAAATTCTACTAATTATATAATTTGTAGAATTTAATTGATGAACGATATTGCTATGCAATAAGGAACTGTCCTCGGTCCCAATGACTACCAGCCATATAATTGAATTTTAGATTGTCATTCCATCTAATGAACACAACTTTAAAAGTCTCAAGGACATTTAGGGGCTATTTCCATTTAATTTTAATTTTGACATTTAGTATTGTAATTTATATTCTATAATATTTATTTAGTCTTATTTTAGTTAATTAAAAAAATGGAAATTATTACAAAATTGTATTAAACCTTAAAACTAAATATTAAGCTAAATATAAACTAAATATTAACGCTGGCAACACCAGAATATAAAGACTTAATTTACTACTGTCATCTTGTTGTACCATATTGTAATAAATAAATGAATTACAATTGTAAAAGTAGAAGTCGTACACTATGTTTATTCCTAGCAAAGGGAAATATTATATACATCTATTCTTATATTATATGATAAATCTATCTATCCTATTTAAGAGCTGCGCTCTTGTCGGTGGAGCTCTTGCCACTCACTACGATTTACAATACATACATAATAAATAGTCTTTAATAATTTAAACTTATACAATTTTAATAACTAATATATAATAATAATAACATTAACAACTAATTATAAACAGTCTCCCAACGAACCACATCGAGGCAACGTACCCAAGTTACTGGGAGCATTGCCTCTTTGAATATCTAGTCTTAGTTAAAAGTTATCTTACTTAAGGCAAGTACTTGCAAACACTCTAAGGGGGAGGCTTACGTTCAACAGTGGACAGTTAAATGCTGATATGATGATGATTTTACTGCCTATCTATATATCTTATTGAACTGGTCTTTTATTTTCAGGACTGTGGATCCAACTGATACATCACATAATGTGCGGGATACTCATAGGCATCTGTTTTTTTAATATGGCCAACGATGGCACACAGATGTTCAACCATTTGAAGCTGTGCGTGGGGCTCATTATATTCTTCACGTACACACAAATTATGGTTCCAGTTCTCGTCTGTAAGTAGTTACCTAATATGCTATTAAATAATTGAAGGGTTTCTTGGGAAAGAGGATTGAAAACAAAGTTAATTTAAACGATTTAAAAAAAGGAGTTTCTAAGTCTTACGAATATTATAAAATTATAACTATACAACGTATAAACGTTGTATATTGGAGATATTAAAAAAGTTATTATTTATTTTTAGGATACATAGTCAAATTACATTTATAGTACGTAATTACACAATCAGTTGTTATATATGTAAAAAAATATTGTCTTAATACGACCAATATAATAATTTTAGAAATTTTGTCTAAGTATATGTTTATTTTTTCAACATGCAAAAAAGCTAGTACAAGAAATTGAATGAAGTTTACATAGTTGTAAATCTGAAAATCTTATTTATTAATTAAATTTGTGCCCCTCAAAAACCGACTTCGATTGTGATAAAACCAGCTATTTTGAAAAAAATTAAAGCACGGAACCGTTTTAATGAAATTTCTTTCGAACGAATCTGCAAGTATATCTTTTCAGATAAAATAAGAATTTTCCAAATCGGTTTAAAATTGGTTGAGTTATGAGGTAACAAATATAAAAAAAAATACAATCGATTTGAGAACCTCCTTCTTCATGAAGTCAGTTGAAAATTGATGTACTCGTATATTTAATCTCGATACGCTATCTATCAGCGGGGGACCAGTGTAGGATGATAGGTGATTATGAATCAGGTAGCCCATCGTGACGAATTCAACAAGAATTGTTCATGATGGTTTCCAGGGGGAACCACGTGGAGGTCGACCTAATAAGGCATATTGCTAGTAATGGGGCTGTCAAACTCCATTGCTAACAATTCCTTTCTCCCCGAATGAATCTGTTGTCTATTGATAATGACATATTTATACGTCATCGCTACCATGAGATAGAACGAAATAGCAATGTTTAATTATTTTTTATGCGTACGCCAAAGTAAATAAACGGGTAGTAGGGTAATTTGATTTCAACCAAAGATACCTAAGAACCATTCTAAAAACAATATGGTTCATCCGTTTGGACGATAAGATCCTATGGAGAAAATATACACAATTTTGGTAGGATGGTAGAAACTCACTGCATTTAGGTACATCATCAAACTCTGTAGACATATAAATAAAATAAGATCACATCAATAAGCTGAATAGTTTAGTTCGTTAAACTTTAGACTTTTTATAATTACAGATCCTCAAGAAGTGAAATTAGTCAAGAAAGAGCATTTTAATCATTGGTACAGTCTCACTCCGTACTACGCAGCTTTGACCGTCTCCAAGCTGCCTGTTCAAGTCACCCTGAATGTGGTCTTCAGTATCATTGTATATTTTATGACTGGAGTGCCCTTCACTGTTACGAGGTTTATGGCTTTCTGTCTCGTTGGCAACGTGGTGTCCCTGGTTGCTGAAGGCATGGGATTAGCTGTCGGTTCAGTTTTTAATGTCAGAGTAAGTACATATAAATTAATACGTAATTATATAAATTTGATCAATGAATATTCAATTGTAAACAATTAATATGTATTAATTGCCTAAGATTAATTATAAATATTGATATAATCGATAGCAATCATTGGGGTAATACTATAGACTGTATTCCATCGATTGTTTTAGATTATAAACTACTGAACTGCCTAAAACTTGATAAATTAATTGATAATGTAAATGCCGATTAAATGATCGATTATTAAGCAACACTACTTTGCAGCTACTGATTTATCGTAGTACATTTAGAAGCCACCAATGTGGAGTTACCCATATAGACTTGTATGATAGTATTTGCATGAGCAAACATAGATCCTTATCAATCACAGCAGAAACACCAGTGGGACGAAGATTAAACGATTTTTGTATAGTCTTCCTGTGATTTCTAGCAAAATTACAGGCAGCTTTACAAAATGGAATTAAGGCGTTTTTGTTTATTAAAAACTATCTTTCTTTTACAGAATGGCTGTGCCATTGGGCCGTCTTCCATTGCACCATTCCTCGGTCTGGCCATTTACGGATTCGACTTCGCCCACCGTATACCGCTTATGATGAACATCTTAATGAAGACATCATTCATCCGTTGCGGTGTAGTCGCCATGGTCTTGACCATATTCGGCTTTGGCAGAGAACCGTTGGAGTGCAAGGATGTGTATTGCCACTTCGCCAAACCGGATGTTCTGATCACGTACCTTGATTTAGAAAGAACGTCAGTTTGGCTAGAAATAATCACAATGTTAGGCATTATGTTTGTTTTCAGATCACTATGTTATATTGGGCTTAGATGGAGGTTCGCAACATGATGATACAAGGCCCATTTCTTTTGCATAGTTGCAGATAGGTCGTAATACTAGCGTAACTGTAGCGGAAAGCAAAAAGCACATACGCATGTGTCAAAGTTGGAGATTGTGCCGTGACTAGGTCATTTTATGTTTCATTGTAAATTAACATTACATTAATAAAAATTTTCGGTGGTTCTGGTTTACGTAACTATTAGGTATTATGCTACTTTTGAACGGACAATTCCGTCCGTATTTGTTAATCATATGTTTTTTAGATGTGCCTTGAGAAATTTACAATAAGATTGGTAGTACTCGTTGCATAAAGACCATATAAATACTAAGCTTAAGTTTAGAGCAACATTTGACTTTTTAGCATGCACTTGCATAGTTGTTTCTATTTGAAGGGTAGGATATGGTAGTGGAATTATAAAACAAGGGGGAATAAAATCTTAATCCTCAGAAATGGCTAATACTTTCAACAAAGCGGGTCATCATTTGCCATTCCAGGTTCATAATCCTTTACCTACGGCAACTGTTGTCAGGTAATTACTACTCAAAGTAACGTTCGAGTAAACAAAAATGAAGGTAGATTAATATGGTGTGTAATTTACAATACATAGAAAAGATTATAATTCGCCATTACGGTGCCACGCGTAAATTCAGGTTTTTACTAAAGAAATTTGTTCGTAATTTCACCCATCATCCTGATTTTTGCTGGACCAATTCTGACGCAATGTTTACGCTGCATTGCGTTTAGTAGATATGTCCTAAGTACACAGTGTTCGCTAGTACAAAATTGTAATGGCATGTGATAAAATATTTTACTTAATATACTTAGTTATTATGTTAGTAATGTTGATTGTTGGCATTTGGTGGTATTTTAAATGCATAATCATTTCTAAGAGTACATGTACTTTTCATAGATTTCAATTTGTACATATATATATATTAAATACGTGAAGATAAAATGTTATATCCGCTTATGCATAAACATATAGCACAGTATAGATTGTTAAGTCTTAAATGAATAGCATGAAGTCAGTTGACACATAGTAACGGACTTATCAGGAATGAAAAACGATGGTTTCCAGGAGGATTAGCGGCCTCATAATTCTAGAATTTCTACCGGCCTAATATTATCCAATTAGTTGTGGAGTAAGAACACTATTTGTCTGCATTATTTTATTTACAAGATGTCGTAACAGGCGATGGCAATGTGCTCTGTGGTGCAAGAGAACGAATACTTAGCCGCCTGAGTGCGATAATCTTAGTTTAATGTCTAATCTTATTTCTTCTTTTTGCAAGTCTTACATATTTGCTTTAATGGTTACTTTTATCCATAAATCTTTGTTATGTCTATTATATTATACATTCTAATTTTCACCGCTAGATGGCGTTGTTTAAAAAAATAAGCGTGACACGTTGACTGAAAAAGTTGTAAAGTACAAGTATTCTTTGAAGTGTATATGATATAGTCACAAGTGTTACTGTAGCCGTTTTTAAAAGCTACATATTATTCAATAATTGCAACTGTAATATTAATAAAAGTCTAGTGTAATATATCTGTATACAATAAAACATAAGTCCCTACATTTATCTATCAGCCAAAGATAGTTTCATGCGTACATGAAAATATTGACTGATTTATATAAAGAATTTAATATTAGTTATTATTTATTCTATATATATTATAAAAAGTAATGTGTGTAGTCTATGGCAAAGTTAGATTTTTACAAATAACCGAATACAATTATATGTTATACAGAATGTGTAAAATAATATTTTTTATAAATTGATATTTCTTGCCTTGAACAGAAGATTTATAGTAAATAGTTATATATGTATTTATATTTAAAGAGCTCTAGAAAGTGGTATAGATCTGCTAATAATTTATATACCATTAAATACATATTATATGAATCGTTCACCGTATTGTGATAATTTGATGATTAGATGTACGTGTGATGTAATATTTTTATCATGTAATTATACAAATCAAATAAATATTACTGAATTTAATAATACTATGTATTTTTTTTTTATGTTTGCTATATCTCACGATGGTTTATATTTAAGTATTCCTAGTGTAGCACCTACTTCAGAACATGTTCTATTTTTACAGGGAATTTAATTGGTGATATTGGTCTTATTTTTTTTTTTTTTATATTATTGGTGTACGTTTGTAATATTAGACGAATTGATTAGATATTTTAGTTTCGCCAATTGTATATTGTTGTTAAATAATTATTAGATTTAATTTTCTTCATTATAATAAAATAATGGCAAACCAGTGAAATATATATTTGTAAAACAAGATTTCGTTCACAGATTAATTTAACACGGTTCTGGTTGGAATATGTTTGTGACATTTTCGGTATTCATTGGTCAATGAAGTAAATAGTTTTCTTTTATAAAATTGACCTAATATTTTAAAAAAAGAATAAGGTTAGACAACAGAGCCCTTTACATAAAAAAAAAAGAAATAGAAAATTTATGAACTTTTTACTTAATTTAAAACTTATGGACATTAATGAACTTCAATATGACATCACACAATAAGCACACGGTGGATTATTTAAAAAAATTTTAAACAATGATTTTGATGATCGTGATTAGATTTAAAGTAATTGATAGTGAAACATACTCCTGATAGCTTTTCGAAAGTGCACTCAAATTCTGATATTTATATATGATTGAGTGATATTTCTGATTGCTGCCGGAAAATATGCTCAAATTTTGATGGATATTAAGAATGAGGTATATTCTTGTCAACCATTGAAAAATATACTTAATATTTTAGTAAAGAAAATCAGAGAATAGAGATATTTATTATACATACTTTTTTTATTTCTAACATCTATTGATATTTATAAAATCAGTATATAATATCAAACAAATATCAGCAGAAACAAAAAAATAAACTTCCGATAGACAGGCGAAATAAATGTTTAGACCTCTCACTAAAAAGATTGTAAGAGATCTAAACATGCTTACTCATTAGTAGTAGTAGAGTTTCGTTAAACACTGTTTAGATAGGCAGTATTTTAAATTATTTTATAATATGACCACAGTTGTTTATATGTATAAGATTGTATGTTATTTAAATAAACTATGTTTCAGCTAAGAATATCTTGTCCGTACAGTGTACAGACAAGATCATTTAACTATATGATTATTTAAAATCAAATGTAAGGTATTTTTGTATCTATATACCCACCCAATGAAACTAAAATTCATTTCAGTAATAAATAGTACAATTGGTTAGCTATAAAAAAAAATTTAAACGAATTATATAACACACATTCTAGGTCATTGTAAATACTATTAGAATTGGTTCATTTTAATAAAAAAAATAAGATTTTTATATTTACCTACAGAATACAGTACCTAACTATATTGAAAAATGCTAAAAATATATACATGTAGATTTATTGCATCGATTGAGAATCTTTATAATTATTTATGTAGACAAATATTTTTACTTTTATATGGAATGGAATAAAAAAATAAATTAGAAGAATTACAAATAGTTTTATTTATATAAATATTTACATAATTATGTATATACACATATATGTGTATTTCCTTACAGACTTAAAGGAAGAATAATATTTATTTTTTACCAAATCCTTTGTTCCGTCTTTTCTTGATGTGTTTCTTGATTTTAGTTTTTCTTTTTTCTGCTTTCTCCTCTTTCACAGCCTTTTTTCTTGCTTTTTTGCTATTTGGAGACTCGTCTCTGGGTCTTGCATGATTTTTGAATTTTGTTTCTGAAAATTAGGAGTTAATAATTATAAACAAAATCTAGGACTTTTTTTTTATGTTTGAAGAGGTTTATTCCATAGCTGTGTAGTATGTAATTCAAATGTTATCCATAAAATTAGTGGTTTAGGGAAAGGTGTATAGGTCTGGAGTAAGGAAAGAGGAGATAATAAATGAACATTAAAGCAATTAATCTCCACAAGTGCTGTTCAGAACTAAAAGCTATGGGTACCACTGAGCAGTCAGCTTGTTTATCACTTCATGTCACATAAAGAAATAAATATAAATAATATTATATAAAATACATCATCATCTTCCTACCCTTATCCAAATTATTATTGTGGGTCAACCTTATATGTGTAAATAAATAAATACATATTTTATAATAAAACTTACTATTTTGTTGGGCTTCCTCATCATTATTGTCGTCATCGGAGCTTGTGTCTGAACTACTTTCTGAGATGCTGATATCTTGTAATATCTCTGGAGTGTCAACAGTCACAGTTAGATCTTCATTGAAGCCTGCTATTTTTTTATACATTAAATCATTAGTTTCACCAACTTTTGCTTTGTTGATATCTCTTTCATAATTTATGACCTAAAACAGATGAGTGAACAACTTGTTATAAAAATAATTGCAAGAGGATGAAACAAAGGCCATCTTTGATTATTTTTTTTGTATCTTATGATTTGTATGAAAATAAAATATATGTAAATAAATATTTAGGATAATATTATAAATACTGTAATATATTTTTTTTAAAAATTTTAATTATTAGATAAATTTATTTAAACACACATCAGTAGATCTGTTTATAAAGACAGTAAAAATGCATGACACAAAAACTAATGGTCTTAATAAAATTTGAGGTGATGATAAATTGGTATTAACCCAGATATCCAAATATTATATTTATGAATACTTATTATATTATTTAAATTTATAAATATTTATATTTCAGTAAAAAGAATATTCAGTTGGAATAAAAATTAAAATAAAAAAAAATAAAGTGAGTTTCCTTAGTCCGAAAACTTCAATTATAAATACAATAATTTTCTTAAGAAAAAGTTTGCACAAACAAAACTATAGGTAAAATGTAGTTACCTCTGTCAGTCGTTTTGGAATATAAACATTTTTAAAAGCTTCCTCTTCAATCTGCTCCTGTGCAGACATTTCTTCAAAATTTCTAGACGCTGCTTTCTCTGATAACTTTTCAAGACAGTCTTCTAGGTTTGTTTCATTAATAATAGAATCCGTTATAAAATCAAAGAGCTCTTTTACAGTTAATGTAGCTACACCTCTTTTTCTAAAGAAATCTGATATATTGGTGCAGTCTTTTCTTAAAAACTCAAATGCATGTGGATGGTCATGTTCTACAGACTGTGAGACATCAATAACAACAATATTTCCTTTGTGATACAGAAGGTTAAACTCTGATAAATCAGCGTGAACTAATTTACATACATTGAACATTTTCCACATCATCATAATGCAGTCTCGGTATAATGACCGAGCTATGGATTGTGATATTTCAACATCTTTCAGTTTTGGTGAAGGCCAGCCCTTTTCTCCCATGAAAGACATAACCAAAACATGACTACGTAGAATTATTGGCTCTGGTACATTCAAGTTAGCATTGTACATTCTAACTAAATTTCTCATTTCTTTCTCTGCCCAAGTCCTAACCATTTTACGAGGGTTGGATCTACAGTAACCATTCCTGAAACGGTATTCTCCAGAAACATATTTGTCTCTATCTTTGAATACTAAAATAGATGTTTTAAAGATTTTAACTGCATAGTCACGACCCTCTTTTGAGGTGGCATGGTAGACATTTGCTTCTTTGCCTGTTGATATGCATCCATTTATTTCATTTATTATACCTCGATTTAGAAGTTTGAAGATAATCATTTTTGTACGAGGGTCCATAACTTGTTCCGCTGTAGCCCTATCATGCTTGTCTTTAACTTTGATTCGGCCATTATCAACTTTAGTGTAATTTTGATTAAGGAATTTTTGTGTATTATTGGGCATTAAAGGTTCATATTTATCAACATTGATTTTATTAATGTATTTCTTAAACAGCTTCTCTGTTGGTTGATATGTGTTGATTTTATTAGAAGGTGTTTGACAGTTTATACCCTCTTTCTTCTTTGTACTTTGTGTTGGATCATCAGAATCATAGAAGTAGTCATCCGAATATACGTCATCATTGCTACTGCCCTTGTTATAAGTAGGCAACTCTGCAAACTGTTTTTTTAATAAATGTTAATAAGGGTACAGTCAAATTTATGAATAGGAAATGTGTACATTTATTTAATTTTTTTTCTATAAATATGTAACTGTTAATGTGATGAATAATTTATAATTAGTGTGCTGTATAAAAACTAGGTAGGTATGAATACTATGTCAATAGGGGGGAAATAATAGCTTTTTCTTGCTGGAGTAGTAATCAATCAGTTACTGCTTGTCCATTACTTACAGCTAAACTCATGTTCTCGTAACACTTTCTTAATAGGCAATTCTATTATCTAATTACTTTTATTACTGAAATGATAATCGTACATACCTAATATGTAACAATTAGGCTAATATGTAACAATTAGGGGAAAGGGATTGTTAGTAATGGGATCTAGAAGTTCCATTGCTAGCAATATACCCTATCAGGTCCACCTCCACGCGGTTTCCCCTGAAAAACCCTCGTGGTTAATTCTCACGGAATTCTTCACGATGGGCTAACTGACCTGTTTTCACCCTCACCTATCATCCTTCACTGGTGCCTCGCCGGCGTATACCGATAGCGCAGGCGGGATACCATTCAATTTTCACCCATTAAAACAAAATGATAATCGTACTTACCCGTACCGATTTAACTTTGTTAATTATGTTTTCTTCATAATCACTGAACTGGCCGCTTGATACGTCAGACATTATTATTTAAATATTAATAACTTTTGCAATGAATTTTGAAAAACACAATTTCAGACATTCCACAATTAAAACAACACGAAGTGTTCTGTTTCAATACGTGAGTAACTATGATAAATAAAACACGTGTATGTTGTATACATATGAAAGCAAAACATCGATGTTGCTATACGAAAAATATGTTAGCAGAATCGATAATCAATCATCGATGTTATTCACGGCCTCACGCACGACCAATGCAACGTATGAAACAAATTACGTTTTTTATCGTTTGTTGGTAAAAAATTTATGTTGTGCGGTTGTATGCGTCGGACTATTTGAGTACTATCACGACATCAACGCCATCCAAAAGACTATTTTCAAAAGCTGGCTTTACTCTTTATCAACAAAGAAATAGATTTAAAGGTTCTTATTTATCAAAATTACTTTTCTTTTAGTCAGTTGACAAAAAGTATTCGAATATAAAATAATTTGTTCTGTTTCTTAAAAATTTGCGAACGATTTTATTGTATTTTATTGTATTGTTAATTATCAGTGCTAAAATTATCGATCTTACCCAATGTCGATGTTCAGTTTGTGATGAATATCGAACATCGATGTTGAGCTTGCGATTATGACAACATCGATGTTTTTCAAATATCGAATCTCTAGTATGTTGATATAAATGACGTTGAGTTGATTGACATTTAAACTGTCAGTCATAAACTGTAATGTCATTCCAACCTCGCACCTAAGATGAAGGAATTCCATAGGAGTGATAAAATTATCAATTCATAGCAGGCTAGTGTATAGAAAATGTTATACGGCCGTATAACCCTACCAAATTCAGATACAACCTGCTTGCATACTTTCTACATAAACTGTATCAAATATATAATCTAGTAATGTTAAATTTGTCATTGACAAATAATTGATATATATCATACATTTTTTATACACTAGCCCGCTATGAATTAAGAAAATTGACAACTGATGGTGTATCTTTTGTCCCCTTTTTACTAATTATATTTGCGTAAGAAGAAAGGAGGCAACCATATGATTTACAGTTTTTATTTTATCATTCCTTCTATGTAATTCTTTGTTTTTAGGTCACACATTCAAAACCTCTTTTTTGTGTGTGTGCGTATGTGTATAAGCCCAGTGTTACCAATTTATTTATTTATTTATTTATAGAAACACCAACAGCATATTGCATTACAACATATTGTATATTATATATCAAACATTAAATACAATATAATATTAATATACATGCTTGTTTAGGATATTCCCAGCATTCCTCTCCTCCATAAGTTTCCACGCTTGGCAGGAGAGTAAGCAACCGCAGTTAGGTATTGGTGATGTTTTAAGAGGGACGTTGCTGCCTATCCCTCAGCCATTTAGTTCCCTTAGTCGCCTCTTGCGATACCCATGGAAAAGGAAAAGGTGGCCCATTCTATGTTGGGAATACACGCATAATAATGATAGGTATTAATTATGTATAATTTTTGGTGGCAAGTTAATACTCATTTTGATTTCAATGAACGGTATCTAGGTTCGTATATAAAAAATACCCGGAACATGCTACTTACATACGTAGAAATTATTTTTTTAATAATTTTATTCAGTAATAGGGTACTCAGTATACTGAGTTTTTTAAATAGGATATTTAAAAAATATAATATAGGATATAATATTTTAAATAGGAGTCGGCTTATAAGCCGACTCCTATTTAAAATAGTTTTACATTGAACCTTCTAATACTAATTAAATAAATATTATAAATACATAGGGGACTTGATTGAGGAATTAGCCAATTTAATGTTAATTGGAAAAACGTTTGTTTATGCGGTACAATTTATTAAATAAAATTTAATATTTTAAAGGGAACGAGGTATAAATAATTAAAAGTACCTAGACATTTATATTAATTTTACAGGGCTTCAAAACAACTTGATGACTTCCAATGATCGCGGGACTACGTATAATATAAATATTAATGGCATGGTATAGTAAGTATGTCTGCCTGTATCGGTCTGGTTGTTTTCTATATATATTAAGTACCAGTCATCATCATCATTTCAGCCATTATCAGTCCTCTGCTGGACATAAGCCTCCCCCATAGACTGCCATAAAGAACGGTCCTAAGCCACCTGCATCCACTAACTCCCTGAAATGCATTTTAAGTAGTCACTCCATTTAGTGGGGGTCGTTCTACACTGCGTTTATCCATACACGGTCGCCACTCAAGAACCTTTCTTCCATCGGTTGTCAGTTATTCGAGCTATGTGATCAGCCCATTGCCACTTCAGTTTGCTTATCCTTCGGGCTATGTCGGTTATTTTGGTTCTTGTGCGGATATCCTCGTTTCGGAAATTATCACGCAAAGAGAATCTGAGCGTAGCTCTCTTCATAGTCCGCTGATTAACTTGAAGCTTTTACATACAGGTAATCGTGTAGGACTATGTTTTGGTTCCATAAGTCATCACTGGCAACACGCACTGGTTAAAGACCATCGTCTTTAAATTCTAAGGTACTTTGGATGAAAAGATGTGGCATAATTTTCCGAGCGCTGCCGAGCCGAGTTGGATTCGTCGGTGGACCTCTCGGTCGAAGTTGGACTTACCCATTCGAACATCTTATCCCAGGTATACATACTCATCGACAACTTCGAGCGTAGTGTTCTCAATTGTAACCGATATAGGTGTGACATGGACGTTATACATGATTATAGTCTTGTTCATGTTCATCTTAAGATCTACCTGTTAAGAAACACCATTGAGGTCATTAAGCATAGTATTCGGATCCTCCAGGGATTCCACTATAATTACTATGTCATCGGCAAATCGAAGGTGAGTAATGTATTCACCATTGATGTTTATACGTAATCTTTTCCAATTTAAGAGTTTGAAAACATCTTGCAATGCAGCTGTGAAGAATTTCGGGGAATGACGTCACAATGTCTTACACCTTTTTGCACTGGAATGGGTTTATGGTATTAAATATCAATACTAACTTATTATTAAAAAAAATAAGTGCTATGTTTATTAATTAGTATTTCATAAAAATTCATACCTATGGCATTTTATTATAATAATTACATTTTTATCATATGCTTAGCATAAGCACAGATAATAAATTACTATGCGTAAGGTACATATTTTTAATGAATGAATAGTAATTGAGTATGACAAAGTATATTTTATATAACACAGGGAATAAAGTAATTCAACTAATAAATATAACTGTACAGTTGTATAAGTAAGATAAGACATCTTATTGTTGAAAGCAATCTTGTTGTACAAGCTCAGCTTTGGAATTAGATGGCGCTGTGATGTGACTCCGACTATTTATTATAGGTATATCTAGTAAATAATTTTTAGGTGATCTATGAAGCTCTATTGACCCATCGCAGAGACCTTACCATGAATTATCCACGATGGTTCCATTATGAACTATGTGGTGGTCTACCTGATATATCTATGTACGTATATTGTTAGCAATGGGATTAGTAGTTGACTGTTTAGATAGGCATTATTTTAAATTATTTTATAGTATGACCACAGATGTTTATATGTATAATATTGTATTATGTTATTCCAATATACTATGTTTCAGCTAAGAATATCTTGTTCGTACAGTGTACAGACAAGATCATTTAACTACATGATTATTTAAAATCAAATGTAAGGTATTTTTGTATCTATATACCTACCCAATGAAACTAAAATTCATTTCAGTAATAAATAGTGTAATTGGTTAGTTATAAAAAAAAATTAAACTAATTATATAATACACATTTTTGGTGATTGTAAATACCAATTTTTTTTAATTTAATTAAAAAAAAAATTTATATTTACCTAAAGAATATAAGACCTAACTATATTGAAAAATAATAAAAGTATATACATGTAGATTTATTGCATCGATTGAAAATCTTAATAATTATTTATGTAAACAAATAGTTTTAATTTTATATGGAATGGAATAAAAAAATAGATTTGAAGAACTGTAAATAGTTTTATTTATATAAATATTTACATAATTATGTATATATACATATATGTCTATTTCTTCACAGACTTAAAGGAAGAATAATATTTATTTTTTACCAAATCCTTTGTCCCGTCTTTTCTTGATGTGTTTTTTGGTTTTAGTTTTTCTTTTTTCTGCTTTCTCCTCTTTTACAGCCTTTTTTCTTGCTTTTTTGCTATTTGGAGACTCGTCTCTGGGTCTTGCATGATTTTTGAATTTTGTTTCTGAAAATTAGGAGCATAAAATTAATAATTATAAACTAAATCTAAATTAAATACTTAAATCAACCAGTAGAAAGATAATGTGGTTTTAAACCTTTCTTGAAGAAACATAATAGAAGGACTGTTTTGAATGTTTGAAGAGCTTTATTCCATAGCTGTGTAGTATGCAATGCAAATGTTACCCATAAAATTAGTTCTATATCTGGGAAGTTTCAGTAACCTTGAATGGTTTAGGGAAAGGCGTATGGGTCTGGAGGGAGGAAAGAGGAGATAACAAATGAAACTGGAAATGATGGTAGACAGGAAAATTAGGATCATTAATGGCAGAAATGAATATGATGATTTAATAATCGTCGTGTGTATTCTGTGATGTCAAGGAGTGCTGTTCAAAACTAATAGCTATGGGTACCACTTAGCAGTCAGCTTGTTTGTCACATAAAGAAATAAATATAAATACATTGTCATCTTCTTACCCTTATCCAAATTATTATAATAAATATATATATAATAAATAAGTAAATACATATTTTATAATAAAACTTACTATTTTGTTGAGCTTCCTCATCATTACTATTGTCATCGGAGCTAGTATCTGAACCACTTTCTGAGATGCTGATATCTTGTAATATCTCTGGAGTGTCAACAGTTACAGTTAGATCTTCATTGAAGCCTGCTATTTTTTTATACATTAAATCATTAGTTTCACCAACTTTTGCTTTGTTGATATCTCTTTCATAATTTATGACCTAAAACAATTTGTTATAAAAATAATTGAAAGAGGATGAAACAAAGGTGGTCTTTGATAATTCTTTTTATGTACCTTATAGATTTGGTATGAAAATAAAATATATGTAAATAAATATTTAGGATAATATTATAAATATTGTAATATATTTTTTTAATTGTAATTATTAGATACATTTATTTAAACACACATCAGTAGGTCTGTCTATATAGACAGTAAAAATGCATGACACAAAAACTAATGGTCTTAATAAAATTTGAGGTAATGATAAATTAATATACAATAATTTTTTTAAGAAAAATTTTGCACAATCAAAACTATAGGTAAAATGTAGTTACCTCTGTCAGTCGTTTTGGAATATAAACATTTTTAAAAGCTTCCTCTTCAATCTGCTCCTGTGCAGACATTTCTTCAAAATTTCTAGACGCTGCTTTCTCTGATAACTTTTCAAGACAGTCTTCTAGGTTTGTTTCATTAATAGTAGAATCCGTTATAAAATCAAAGAGCTCTTTTACAGTTAATGTAGCTACACCTCTTTTTCTAAAGAAATCTGATATATTGGTGCAGTCTTTTCTTAAAAACTCAAATGCATGTGGATGGTCATGTTCTACAGACTGTGAGACATCAATAACAACAATATTTCCTTTGTGATACAGAAGGTTAAACTCTGATAAATCAGCGTGAACTAATTTACATACATTGAACATTTTCCACATCATCATAATGCAGTCTCGGTATAATGACCGAGCTATGGATTGTGATATTTCAACATCTTTCAGTTTTGGTGAAGGCCAGCCCTTTTCTCCCATGAAAGACATAACCAAAACATGACTACGTAGAATTATTGGCTCTGGTACATTCAAGTTAGCATTGTACATTCTAACTAAATTTCTCATTTCTTTCTCTGCCCAAATCCTAACCATTTTACGAGGGTTGGATCTACAGTAACCATTCCTGAAACGGTATTCTCCAGAAACATATTTATCTCTATCTTTGAATACTAAAATAGATGTTTTAAAGATTTTAACTGCATAGTCACGACCCTCTTTTGAGGTGGCATGGTAGACATTTGCTTCTTTGCCTGTTGATATGCATCCATTTATTTCATTTATTATACCTCGATTTAGGAGTTTGAAGATAATCATTTTTGTACGAGGGTCCATAACTTGTTCCGCTGTAGCCCTATCATGCTTGTCTTTAACTTTGATTCGGCCATTATCAACTTTAGTGTAATTTTGATCAAGGAATTTTTGTGTATTATTGGGCATTAAAGGTTCATATTTATCAACATTGATTTTATTAATGTATTTCTTAAACAGCTTCTCTGTTGGTTGATATGTGTTGATTTTATTAGAAGGTGTTTGACAGTTTATACCCTCTTTCTTCTTTGTACTTTGTGTTGGATCATCAGAATCATAGAAGTAGTCATCCGAATCTACGTCATCATTGCTACTGTCCTTCTTATAAGTAGGCAACTCTGCAAACTGTTTTTTTAATATATGTTAATAAGGGTATAGACAAATTTATGAATAGGAAATGTGTAATTTTATTTTAATTTTTTTTCTATAAAAATGCAACTGTAAATATGATGAATAATTTATAATTATTGTTGTATAAAAACTAGGTAGGTATGAACACTATGTAAATAGGGGGGAAAATAATAGCTTTTTCTTGCTGAAGTAGTAATAAATCAGTTACTGCTTGACCATTACTTACAGCTAAACTCATGATCTCGTAAAACTTTTTTAGTAGGCAATTCTAATATCTAATTACTTTTATTACTAAAATGATAATCGTACTTACCCGTACCGATTTAACTTTTTTAATTATGTTTTCTTCATAGTCACTGAACTGGCCGCTTGATCCGTCAGACATTATTATTTAAATATTAATAACTTTTGCAATGAAGTTTGAAAAACACAACTTCAGACATTCTACAAATAAAACAACACGAATTGTTTTCTGACACTAGGTAAGTACCTATGATAACCTAAATAAAGCACGTGTATGTTGACATAAATGACTTAGAGTTGATTGTCATTTAAACTGTCAGTCATAAAATGTAATGTCATTCCAACCTCGCACCTAAGAAGAAGGAATTACATAGAAGGAGTGATAAAATTATCAGTTCATAGCAGGCTAGTGTATAGAAAATGTTATATGGCCGTATAATCCTACCAAATTCAGATACAACCTGCTTGCATACTTTCTACATAAACTGTATCAAATATATAATCTAGTAATGTTAAATTTGTCATTGACAAATAATTGATATATCGTACATTTTCTATACACTAGCTGCCTACTAAGAAAATTGACAACTGATGGTGTATCTTTCGTCCTCTTTTTACTAATTATATTTGAATAAGAAGAAAGGAGGCAACCATATGATTTACAGTTTTTATTTTATCATTCCTTCTATGTAATTCCTTGTTTTAGGTCACACATTCAAAACCTCTTTTTTGTGTGTGTGCGTATGTGTATAAGCCCAGTGTTACCAATTTATTTATTATTTATTTATTTATTCATGGAAACACCAACAGCATATTTTTTAATAGGTGATAATGGAATGGTAACGCCGTCTGCGCTATCGGTACATATTGGCGGGGCACCAGTGAGCGATGATATGTGACGATGATAGCAGATCAGTTTGCTCATTTTGATGAATTCCACTAGAATTTACCACAATGGTTTTCAGGGGGAACCACGTGGAGGTCGACCTGATAGGCTGTATTGCTGGCAATGGGTCAGTACTAACAATCCCATTCCCTCATCAACAGCATATTGCATTACAACATATATATCAGACATTAAATATAATACAATACTAACGCATATTTATAGCATTCCTCTCCCCCATAAAGGGGGGAGGAGGTTGCCAATAGTTGCCACGCTTGGCAGGAAGGTCGGCAACCGCAGTTAGGTATTGGTGATGTTTTAAGAGGCTCGGCCCTCGGCCATTTAGTTCCCTTAGTCGCCTCTTACGACAGCCATGGATATGTCAGAAACACACGAATAATAATGATAGGTATTAATTATGTATAATTTTTGATGGCAAGTTAACACTCATTTTGATTTCAATGAACGGTCTCTTACATTACATACATACGTACATACATACAACTTACATATGTAGAAATTATTTTTTTATTAATTTTATTCAGTAGTAGAGTATTCAGTATAAACCGACTAGAAAAAGTGTTTTACTTTCAACCTTCGAATACTAATTAAATAAATATTATAAATACATAGGGGACTTGATTGAGGAATTAGCCAATTCAATGTCAATTGGAAAAACGTTTGTTTATACGGTACAATTTGTTAAATAAAATTTAATATTTCAAAGGGGACGAGGTATAATTAATTAAAAGTACCTAGACATTTATATTAATTTTACAGGGCTTCAAAACAACTTGACGACTTCCAATGATCGCGGGACTACGTATAATATAAATATTAATGGCATGGTATAGTAAGTATGTCTGCCTGTATCGGTCTGGTTGTTTTCTATATATATTAAATACCAATCATCATCATCATTTCAGCCATTATCAGTCCACTGCTGGACATAAGCCTCCCCCATAGACTGCCATAAAGAACGGTCCTAAGCCACCTGCATCCACTGACTCTCTGAAATACATTTCAGGTCGTCACTCCATCTAGTGGGGGTCGTTCTACACTGAGTTTATCCATATACGGTCGCCACTTAAGAACTTTTCTTCTATCGGTTGTCAGTTATCCGAGCTATGTCGAAGTTGGACTTACCCATTCGAACATCTTATCCCAGGTATACATACTCATCGACAACTTCGAGCGTAGTGTTCTCAATTGTAACCGGTATAGGTGTGACATGGACGTTATACATGATTATAGTCTTTTTCATGTTCGTCGTAAGACCTACCTGTTAAGAAACACCAAACACAGGATCCGAATACTATGCTCAATGACCTTGAGCATAGTATTCGGATCCTCCAGGGATTCCACCATAATTACTGTCATCGGCAAATCGAAGGTGTGAAGATGTACTCACCATTGATGTTTATACCTAATCTTTTCCAGTTTAAGAGTTTGAAAACATCTTGCAATGCAGCTGTCAAGAGTTTCGGGGATATGACGTCACCATGTCTTACACCTTTCTGCACTGGGATGAGTTTATGGTATAAAGAACCAATACTAACTTATTATTAAACAAAAAATAAGTGCTATGTTTATTCATCAGTATTTCATAAAAATTCATACCTATGGCATTTTATTATAATAATTATAATTTTTATCATATGCTTAGCATAAGCACAGATAATAAATTACTATGCGTAAGGTATAAATTTTGAATAAACTAATAATGAATGATTATGACAAAGTATATTTTATATAACACAGGGAATAAAGTAACACAACTAATAAATGTAACAGTACAATTGTGTAAGTACAATAAGACGTAAGACGGTGTAATTGCTGAAAGCAATCTTGTTGTACAAGCTCAGCTTTGGAATTAGATGGCGCTGTGATATGACTCCGACTAATTAAGTATATTTATTGTTAGAAAATAGTTTATAGATGAACACTTGTTTTAATAAATGAAAATGATCTATGAAGCTCTATTGACACATCGCGGAAAACTTACCATTAATTATCCACGATGGTTCCACTATGAACTATGTGGAGATCTACCTTACATATCTATGTACGTATATTGTTAGCAATGGGATCAGTAGTTCCCATTACTAACAATCAGTTGGTTTAATATTTAAGAGAACATTGAATTGTATAGGTAATTCCCTCAGAACCATTATTGTTCCAGTTAATAATTTGACATATTCCATGTATATCTTTAGGAAAACCGTAAGTACTACCGAATACCTAGCAATATGTAGGAAATTATCGGAATGCATTTTATGATTAATTCAAGGAAAACCATGTTGCTGTTATGATTTTTACTAAGAAAAATCATAATAGTGCACTTAAGATTCAAGAATTCTGCAGTAATAATATTTCTGTATGGAGATTTGATCGTAATTGATTTCGTGATGATATCAGAAAACTATTCCGAAAAATCATTGCATTCTAGCCTAAATATTTTTACTCATTTTTTTTATAACTAGCCAGTATGTCCTCTAGATAAAAAAAGTTTATATAGGTATTATCTACTTGGTAAGAAATTATATAATAATTGATTTATAATTTGAAATAGTATGTGTTGCTTAGACTTTTTTGAGCAGTGTATATATGTTGTCGTTTTAAAATCATTCAAAGTAATTTTTTATTATTACATTAATTAGTAACCAATACATAGGTACATATATATATATATATATATATATATATATATATATATATATATATATATATATATATATATATATATATATATATATATATATATATATATATATATATATATATATATATATATATATATATATATATATATATATATATATATATATATATTAGCAGAAGAAATAGTTCGAAATTCAAACTTATAAAATCGTCTTGGTCTGGGTGATTTTTATTCTGAATTTTAAAAAATGGCGCGTTTTCTTTTGATTTAAAGATAAAAGTCAGTCAAGTGCCAATTTATTTGACTAAACTCGATGCTCTATCTATATAGATATATCTAGAGAGAAGAATTGTAATAAAGAAAGAAAGCAAGAAAAATATTAATTCGATGGACACCAATAACAGAAACAAACAATTACAAAAATAAATTAAATAAAAAGAAAATACAAAGATAAACTTATATCTAATTAGAAATTATGTGACCAAAATGTTCACTACTCAACTAAGCGTCAAGGCGTTCATGCATAACGCCTAAACGCTGATTTTCTGTGAATCCTGTGAAACTGTGGAATTTCCTTCACATTTGTTACATTGTGTATGTGTTATATTTTATATCTATTATCTATTTTATACTTACTTTAAATATATCAAAAGTTTAGACGTTGCCAGGAAATTCAAATTTTGAAGAAAATTTAGAATCTTTTTAAATTACCGACCGACATCGGCTTGGCTCGCACTGGTAGACTGGTTGAAATTTCTTAACCTTTTTGAATATAAAAAAATATACATATACATATGTATATAAACATCAACACAAATTCATAAAATAATATAAATACTACTTACATGTATACAAAAAACTACTATACGTAAAAACTAGAAAAATGTACTTCAATTGGAGGCCCTCAAAAGACCTTAAATTAAGAGAATTGACGGAATTTAGAAAGTCAAACCGTTCCTTCAGGTAGCGAGGGGAAGAAGAGTTAACAAGGAAATTTATAATATTGCATTAGATGTGGTAAATCGCATGCATAACATTAAATATAAAAATAATAATATATGATGTGGTGGACAGATGGAGTAGTACGTTATGACGTTTTTACTATTGGTTGCAGTTGATTAATCAAGTAACAAAGGTCGGGGTTGACCTTAGTTTAGTTGTAATTAGCGTAGGCATATAAAAAGTAATTGTCAAGGTAAGGAAAAAAGGAAATGCATCTGAAACCGTTTACCCAAGTAAATGAAGATTACCACATTTTTCTACTACTACTAGAAATTTTTTATTTATTAAAGGCATATTTTTTGACAATTAAGTATTTATTACCACGATTATTTGAAAATCTGGGGTAGGATATATTGCTAGCCAATGGGTCCGTTATTAACCACGAGGCTAGCGGTATAATAAATATTACTGGGTGTTTAATGATATCGTATGTATATATATATATATATATATATATATATATATATATATATATATATATATATAAATTATTATATGTTAGTTATTAAATAATGAATACAACTGAACGAATTAGAATTAAAGTAGGTATTATCACTTGGGATACTTTTTGCCACTATTCATGTAGGGAATAGTCAAGGAACATAGCCAGTATGCTATAGCTATATTTTTATATATAATAAGAAAGATATTTTTTTTTAACATATGAATTTGATCTTGCTAATCCATTTTAAATCGGAAGTTCATTTACCTCACTTAAATAAACATACTTAGGTGAGGTATATGTTTACAGGAAATTATTTATTCTTATAATTACTTTGAACATGTGCTGTGAATAATTTTAATTTATGATATCAAAAGTAGGTGCCATTCAAATTATCTTAATGTATTTAATTTATTTCCGTATTACTAAATTATATTGAAATTTAACTTCAGATTGCAATATCATATAAATTCACACTATGATTATAGGGTCATAGGATGAGCATACGATTTGTCATTTCAAAACCCTATGTCTATTAGATAATGCACAGCAATAATTGCCGCCTATTGGTATAAGAAGCACCATACACAACACAACACAATAAATATTGTGATGTATTATAATTAAAATATTCTTATTCTAATTCTAAATTTAAAATTATACTTTAAATTATCACTTATAGGAATATTTTTGTACGAATCCAGCTATATTATTATCATAATAAAATTCGTCTAATCAAAACACAGCAACAAGCACAATAAGGTAGATAATACGTACTTTATTACAGATTTAGGTACAAAATTTTTAGCTAGATATATTGCAATATTGCAGTTTAAGTTACTTCATGGTAATAATTATCATTAAATCGTTACCGGTGCACGCATATAATCATAGCCGTCATAGAGGCATCTTCCGACGATCACTTACAAAGATAACATGCTACGGATACGTTTAGTTAAATATTACTTGAACGGACTAAAACATAACCTTATGAAGTGAATTGACGTCGTACTGAAGTATTTAAGAAGGCTACGCTTTGAGTGACGGGCCAAAACCTCGCAATAACGGCTCGCGGCCGGCCGAAACAGTTTAATAACATTCATATAACAAATGAATTGGAATTGAATCTGTTTGATTCGTGTAAAGAGAGACAAAGAAATCCAAATGCCTGCCGATTCAGACCTGATTGTACCAGGAGGAGAAGACAGGGATGTTGATAAAAGCCTGTTTAAAAGTCTCCCGGAGAGATCAAAACATGAAGACTTCATCAGGCGGGCAGTGGACTTACTGGTCGAGAGAGTAGTGTTCGGTAGAACATCGAGGACTTCTAAGGTAGTAGAGTGGACTGCGCCAGAGGATATTAAAACTGCCATTGATTTGAAACCTAGAGATGGACCTGTTTCACATGATGAACTTTTAGGAATTATGGCTGATGTAAGTTGGGTTACTTCATATGGTTGAATTCGTGTAACATATAATTAAAATATATTTATTTACAGATTACATATATATATTTTAATGAACGTAAAATAAATCCCAGTCAAAACCTCCCGCCATAATTATAATGTCAATGAAGATATTTCTGATATGGCAGGCAATTATTAAACAAATATTTAAATATGAAAAATGTCAAATTTTTGTATACATAATATTACAAACAACAAGAGTTGTTTTTGTAACTTAAGGTTCTTAAAAACTTCAATGATCTATGTTCTATTATGTTACAGAATTATTTAAATTTACGAACATATGAATTTTTTCAGGTCGCGAGATACTCGGTTAATACTGGACATCCTTACTTCGTCAATCAACTGTTCTCAACTGTTGATCCATACGGTTTAATAGGACAGTGGTTAACCGACGCATTAAATCCCAGCGTATACACTTATGAAGTAGCTCCAGTTTTTACTCTCATGGAAGAAGAGGTTCTCCGTGAGATGAGGAGTATTGTTGGATGGCCAGAAGGTCAAGGTGACGGGATTTTTTGTCCTGGTGGATCTGTTGCTAATGGCTACGCTATTAGTTGCGCTCGATTCTATTACTATCCAGAAATTAAGGTCAGTGCTTTTATATTAGCTGTAATCATTACGTAACCATTTTGTGTTAAAATAATTATGTTCAGTGTGCTCCCTATAAATGATTCGATTAATAAGGCAAGTAAATTATCGAGCTTTTAATATTTACTTATAGAAAAATTTAGTATGAGAAGAAAAATTAAGATTGAACAGTGCGCCTATTAAAAATGTGTGTCTAAAACATTTTTAAAGAAAATTATCGGTTTGTAATATAATCAAAATGCTCAACCATAGCAAAAAATAGATCAGTCTGGAAATTGGTCTCAAGATGCACTATGAATATGGCTTAACTAGTATACCTTCGTGCTTCTAGTACCTGTGTATTGGTAAAGGACTCATGCATCGTTTATAAATCTTTAGTGGTTATGGAAGCAAGGATAAATATTAGAAAAAATAAGTTACTCAAAAATTTTAACATGTAATTGGACATTTATTATTAATATAAAATTAAAATAAAACCAATTGAAACTTAGTCAATGTCCTGATTTAATTCAATTAAAGTAATATGAACATAGTATATTTTGTTGAGAGTAATATAGAACTTTGGCAAGGACGAAGGACAATTAGAAATTTTTAGTTTCTTCTTTTTTTCATTGACGATGATTCAAACTGCATCTGGGGAATTTGAATTATAATTTACAATATAGTGACTGGGCGACGAGAACGTAATTTCCTGTAACTATACAGATACGTTACGTCACCTGGAAGTAAGTGCATAGTACGTATACAGAAGTACTTTATGTCAATATGCGTATATATTGTGTAATTATTGGAATAACCCTTTAAATTTACAGAAATTACAGTAGGTACTTTCTTCCACTAATATTTTTTCTTATCTATCATTTTTATATCGATATTTCCTTTCAAAGCAATTTATTCTTATATGATAATATAGCGATACTATTACTAATTTATTATTACTATAATCATGTCAATATTTATGGTGACCACATTTTAATAGCAATTTTCTTGATTATCCACCGTCATATCAGCTTATACTATCCAATACTGGATATAGGCCTTCCCTAGTGCCTTACAATATGTCCGATCCTCGGCTTTCTGCACTAATTGCCACACGTTACTGGTCCTTTTCATAGAAGAATTTATGTCAATAAGTCACCATGCTTATTATTCGTACTTATTATTAATACCTGAGATTATTCTAAAAGAATTGTGTTTATGTTTAAGTTAGCCACAAAATTATTAATAAATTAATTGACCTTGACCTAGAAAATGGAGGACTATATTTAAATTGTATAATTTTAAATCTAATTTACATTTATTAGGCAGTCTATATAACATTATAATTAGACAAATAAATAATATTCCGACTAATTTATACACATAATAGACATAAAGTATGATAAACACTATTTAGTTTAAATATAAAATTTATATTTAATGTTTTTCGCAAGTAAACGTAACGAAGTTCATTCATGTTAATCTCTTTTCTCAAATAAATTCTTATATTTAGATTTAATAATTGAAACTTCTCAATTAATTTTAATGAAATTTTGTAGATATATTTTATTTGTTCCAACTTTACCACAAGTAAAAAATGGATCCAGTACATGACGGTAAGGGGCAACAGAACACTTGCTGGGTCAGCAGTTACTGTATAATTGTAAATTTTGTAGATTGTTTTATATTTAACTAACTTTTTGCCTGCTATTTGGTGCGCGTGGATTTTGGAAGTAGAATAACAAATGAAATAGATCACTTTTATACACTTATCAAAATGATATGTACATCAGTTTTAAAGTTAGATTTTCAGGAACATAATTGTATTCCTGAACATCTAACTTGTTAACAAACCGCATCTAATTTAATGCAGTAATTTTTTTCGTGATACCCCAACAAAGGTACAGACAGCCATAATTTCTAAAAAATATTGTTTTTGCCTCTATTGCCCTTATACAGAAATTGTTTAGTAAAATTTTTATTAGTAAGATTTCCATAACAACTGTTTCCATTTATATACTTGCAAACGGCCTTATAACAAGGTTTTGAAGTATAATAAGCAATAACAGTTTGTTGACCCAATTTCAATTACCAGTATAATGGATCTATAATTATAAGTTATTACAATTTCGCAGAAACAGATCATAGGTTGTTCTAGGTCATTCATGCTGTACTAATCGTGCTAAATTACAGTTGATAGTTTTAAAACCACAAAAAATTTAAGAGTTTCTTATTTTGAGTGCATATCTTACTAATGTAATAAAATTGTGACTAACATATATATGTAGGGACAGAGTAGGTGTGGTATATTTTTATAAGAAAACGTATATACAGTATTTTTATGTATTTTCATATTTAGTCATATGAGTATGATGTAGAATTCGAGGTTTCATACCTCCGGTCAAATTGTTTATAATTACTCTTCTCCATTCAAATGTTGCCTGGAAGAGATCGCTTTTAGCGATAAGGTCGCCCATTGTTTTCTCAGTATAATTCTTTTCTTGTAATTGTTTCTATATTTTTTTTAATAATCTTTTGGAGGACAAAGAGTACCTATCTATTCAAATTGTCAATTATATTTATTATTGTTGATATGCTAGAAATCTCATTACTCCAATTAAAGTATGAATTTAGCGATAAAGTAACATCATCTCTTTCTAAATTTAGATCAATGAATTATATTTAAGATGCTCAATTCAAAGTTAAAGCAAGATCAAGCAATTATCGGCACTAAGAAAGATTTTTGAAATTCTACGAGAATAGAAGAAAACTGATACTGTGTGGTGAAGCTCTGGACAAAAGTTGGTAAACAACTAAAATATTAATAAGTTGTATGTTACATTACAGAGTAAAGGAGTCTACGCGGTGCCAAAACTGGTTCTCTTCACTTCAGAACTTGCACATTACTCTACGAAAAAAATGGCCGCATTCATGGGTATAGGCAGCGATAACTGTGTTCTTGTGAAAACTGATAAATGTGGTAAAATTGATGTAAATGATTTGGAAATGAAGATTACTGAAGCTATAGAAGACGGTGCTACCCCATTTCTAGTAACAGCAACAGCAGGGACGACTGTCTACGGAGCATTTGACCCTTTAGTACCAATTGCTGCAGTGTGCAAAAAATACAATATTTGGCTTCATGTAGATGCAGCGTGGGGAGGTGGTGCTTTGATGTCGAAGAAGCACAGGCATCTTTTATCAGGAATTGAACTGTGAGTATTCATTAATTTATTTGTATCCTGGTATGCTGATTAATGGCTTCTTTCAATTATTTCTATTTATTTTGATTCATACAAGTTTCGACGTTAGTTATGCGGTAGTTTCTATAAAACTGTTCAAACTTGTTTTTTCATTTACTTTCGTGGTCTTTCATTATGTACTTTAGGATTTGGAGAAAAAAAAAATGTTGTTACGAATGAAATTTTATCTTAGTAAATTGGCACGTCCAATAGAATTCCTATTTTTGATGTAATTTTTATATACAATTACATAATAAATTAGGAAGTGTCCAATTAACTCTTTATGGATGGAATAGAATTGATAGAACAAATTAGTTTGTTATATCGATAGGCTTTTCTCCTGATCATGCATAGTAATATGAGTGTTTATCTCTATGTTCATATGTGTCATCAAAATGCTGTTATTGCTCGGTTAATAATTTTGTAAGCACTTATAAGTGTATTTTTTTTATTGAGTTGTTTAGTTATAATGCTTTTTTTTTATAGTATGCTACATACGAGGCTTATTTAAAATTATTTAATGAAAATAAACTACAAATATCAAGGCAAGGCCCTCAAGGATATTTTAGCTTCCATCTATAATATAATAAAAAATACGGTTTCTATAAATAAAAATATGTATATTATGTTAAATAACGTTTGAAGAAGTTATTCTTTAGCTTAGAACACAGGATCCAAACAACAAGCGGTTGAGAAATTTGTCAACTGATTGTACTCGTTTTTATTACACTGTAATGTAACTTAAAAAACATTCCGATTAATTGAAGATCAGGGTTCAAATACAGTTAGATTAAGTTTTTTTTTTTAATTATAATATAACAGAAATATAATTTTCGCTTATACCTAGTCCCTTTCGAGTGGGTGCAATGGCTATCTATTTTATATTTTAACTATATAATCTGGGCCGGATTCTCACACGTAAACATAATTTTCGAAAAGAATATTTAGATAATGTTAAAGTCGGTTTAGTTATTTTAGAAATTATCCATTACAAACCAACAATCAAACAATCAAATCTTTCATCGTTATAGCATTATATACTAATGCTATAAAGAAGAAAGGATGAAACTAGTTTTGCTATGAGACTATTCCTCTCGAAAAAATATCTAAACGACACGGGGAGAGTTTTACAGTCTTTGTAATTTTACATTTTATTAACCGTACTCACGACCTTGTTCGCGTTATCAAAATAATAAATAACTTATATCCTTTTCGATGTCAATATTTCACGTGTGCAAACTTTTATTACGATTGGTTGAGCTAAGAGGTATTAATAAACAAGTTAACTTTCACATTTATAATACAAGTAAGAATATAAAGGAATACGATATAAGTATTATCAATTGATCCTGAACTCTCCTGTTATTTTATGTGTGTAAAATGAATTCTAATATTTTACTTTCTTGTAATCTATTTGATACTAATTAAATTAATTTGGTATGTGTATGTTCGTCTTATTAACATATACTTATGTAACTATTATTATTTGTGTATTTTATTGTGTTGTTTTATTTTTATATTTTCGCATTACATATGCGTTGATTTTGATTTTCTCTTTTTATTAGCCCCCTATAGTTATAGGCATTCTTTGTCATTAGTTCGAAAATGATTACAATAAAAATGCAAATATTTCTTCCAGGGCCGACTCAGTGACGTGGAATCCTCACAAGCTCTTAGCTGCGCCTCAACAGTGCTCCACGTTTTTAATTAGGCACAAGAATGTCCTCAAGGAAGGGCACTCTTCCAACGCGAAGTATCTCTTCCAAAAAGACAAATTCTACGACACATCGTACGACACCGGGGATAAACACATTCAGTGTGGACGTCGGGCTGATGTACTAAAATTCTGGTTTATGTGGAAAGCGAAAGGTTCAGAAGGTTTCGAGAAACATATTGATACACTATTCGACAACGCTAAATATTTCTTGGAGCACATACGACAACGTGACGGGTTTCAATTGGTCGTCGAGAATCCAGAATGCACTAATGTAATGTTTTGGTACATACCCACGTGTCTCCGTGGCCGCGAAAATGAACCAGATTATAAAGAAAGGTTGAACAAGGTCGCACCAAAAATAAAAGAACGAATGATAAAGGAAGGAAGTATGATGGTCACGTATCAACCACAAGGTGACCTTGCAAATTTCTTCCGCATAGTGTTCCAAAATTCCGCTTTGGATCACAAGGATATGGTTTACTTCGCCAACGAATTCGAAAGGCTCGGCAAAGACATAGTCGTTTGATTTGTAACACGAGATAAATTAATTTACGCGCACACATATTTATTAATACGTGTATATAACGTACAAAATCTTGCATCATTGTAATCTGTGATTGTATTTTATAATTTAAGATTTTACTTTTGAATATTTTTTTCATTTTACGTACTATAGAACTTACTATTAATAATTATTTATTTTAATTTATAAATAAAAATGTATATTTTGAGTGAAATGAAATGAGAGTGGATAAATTACTATCAGATAGAATGGATATTAAAAAAAAAGATATCTTATTTTTATTTCTTTTGAAAGATTAAATTTTATATTCATTACAGTAAACTGAAGTCATGTTTGAGGTATTATTAAAAACAATATAAGTAAATTTATAATTCCAAAAATTGTACGTAAACCGACTTATTTTTCATCATGTCGTAAATATTATAGATCCTTTCGTGGAATATTCATAATTGAAAGTAATAAAATGACTGATACTGTTTTATTTGTATACCATAAAAATGCGAGAAAATTGTTAAGTGAGTAACGATGCTATACTAAAATATATAAATATAACTTCTGTCAACTAATATTTTTTTTATTAAATTATCAATTTAAGTAAAATTTCTAATATATATGTTATAATATTTTAATTTGGGAATTCTTTTTTATATGAAATGGAACGATAGCTCTGCTGACGATCCACTTGATGGATAGTGCTAATCATCCTATGTAGAGGAGGAAGGCATTGTTATTAATGCGAACTACCAGTCCCATTGCTAGCAATATACTCTGTTAGGTCTACCTCTACGTGACCCCCCTGGAAACAATCGTGCTGAATTCCAGGTGTATACATCACGATGGGCTAACTGACCTACTTTTTTATTCTCGCTTATCATTCTTCACTGGTGCCCCATCAGCGTATACTATTAACGCAGGCCCCTTCCGTCATTACTATTCTATTATCATTCATTAAAAAAGAAACTTCCTATGTATAGATAGATATTTCGCTACTCACGATGGGTCAACCTACAACTCACTTATCATCCAACGTATATTAATAGCCCAAGGCGGATTACCGTTTCATATTTATTCCTTAAAATAATAGGTTATTAAAGTATGTTTAGTTAACAATGATTGATATACATTGTGTGTATGTAGGTATATTAACGCAAGATGTAGGTAGGTGTCAAAGATAGATGGATAGCTCCCAAGTGTCATGACCCAATTGCGAATTAGTCACTTGTGAATACTGATCGTGTACTATCTAATCCATCAATCAATATTGAAAGATATTATACCGATACAAACCATAAAATCAAATAATCTTTCTTTATGTTGTAAACTAGTTGTTTCTCAAGGCTTTATCTACGTGAATAAGTATATAAAGTATCTTATGTAATAAGTTAGGATATAACTTACTTATGTACCAAATTTCGTTCAAATCCGTTCAACTATTTAATTATTACTCCAAGTTATTCACGGACTTTCACATATATAAATTGAACTATGCATATTCACTTCAGTGACCCAATAAAATTTTTTTTTATTTAACTTCAAATGGCTAGTAAGTAAATTGAAAGTGGTAACGGCCATTCTTGCATGGTGAATTTGAAAGTATTAGCATCCTTTTAAGAGAATATTCTGCCAATGAAACTAAATGTTATTTACAAATAAACATGGGTCAGAGAATAATAAAACAGTCTGAGTCTTTTATACAAATCGACGTATTTTGCTGTCAATTTTGCATGAGAAAGTTTAAAAAAAACTGATTAAATATATGCTATATCTCTAAGGATTAATTTTAAATTGTTAACGAGTATTTATGAAAGAAATCAACACCTACGCTTTAATTTTTCCAAATTTTTTGTAATAAATTTTATATCAATGTTGCTGAGATTTTTACTGCCCCAGTACAGTACAATTTCACAGAAGTAATTTTATTGCCAACGCAACTTGTGTAGGCGCTCTCTCGATTTGTAAATATAGATATAACTTTATAAATGTATACACATATATATGTATATATATGTTTACATACATGCGCACATGCATTACATATACATATATGCATAAAAAGCTATTTTTATATATTATTTTTATTGGCAGTAATTTTTATTACGGAGAAGGAAAAAAATTAGAAGAACTGAATTGATTAGCGCCTAGGTAAGTATGTGGTACAAGCAGTACCACCATATCTAATTTTTATACCACGAATCTGTACAGCGTATCCATTTGTCAGTGCCTTCACACCTCACGATTAATGAACATATATATTCACCCTGTTCTTTATAAAAAAAAACCGCATTATTTATTATTATTTTTTTAGTTTTTCCCTGCAGCTCGTGCGGTGTCTCTTCTATCTAATATTTTCTGTGAATTCCTATTGTATGTAAATCTAGCTATCAACTCTTGTTATCTATTTATTTCTTCTACTATTATCATTGTACATAAGTTCAATCACAATCAAGAAGAAACTCAGCTTGATATGGTGTTTGGTAAGAGTCAACCGACTCTACACATGAGTATATAAAATAAAGAAAATATAAAAATTATAATACAATAGACATGTCATATGGCAATTGGAAAACTCTGTCTATATAAACAATACAATATAGCAAAATGCATTTTGTTTTAAGCGAGCAAGCAGAGCAGGATGAACAATGATCTTGTAATACGAAGACGATGATAAATTGATGTGCTGTAATGATGTGTCGAAGCAAATAGGTTATGGTGCGAATATCACCATGATGTGAACGGTGCCACTGTTAGCAACACAGATTTTTAGTATTTGTTGTAACGAATTAGTACATATGTTCCGAAGTACAAATACAGTCATTGATGCTATGTGATTAAAATTCAATATTATATATATAAAAAATAATTTATTTATACCAAGATAAAAAATTTTTAGATGTAATTAATTTTATTCTAATAAACAATATATCTACATAGGTATGTGTAAAATATCTGTCAAGATTTGAATGAAATTTGATATTTAATGAAAAATATCGTATACCAATATATGGTATAATGTTTTATTTTAATTTACGCGAGTATAATTGCAGATTACTGTTATTGAATAAACATATTGGAATAATATTTATAAATAAAAACACAATTTAGCAGTAAAATCTCTCTAAAAACTCATTATTTGTTATTATTTGTTGATTTAATGAATGATTAATAAAATTTATACTTACGACTTTATGGCTAAATCAACTGTTACGAAATTTGCTATATAATATACTTTGTACGTAGAATTCAGAAAGTGTAAAATGTTACAAAAATATAAAATAAAAAACTATTAAATCTGTCACAATGAAAATAACGTTATTATTAAACTTAAAATTAACTTAATAATGTATAAAATCACATTGTTTTTTTAATTAGAGCTACATCAGATCATAATATGTCATTTCTATAGTTACTGTAATAAAATCACAATTTTTCTTCTTTGGTTTCCAATGGCAACTCCACACAATTTAGCTGAAAATGAAACATATTGGTAACATTGAGTACTTAATATTTATCACTATTTAATCACTACCAATGATGTTTACTATTAAAAGTAGTTTATATTACTCGTAGATATTTAAATCTTTGCTTTTGCTACAAAAGTGAAACTAAATTTGTTTGTTATCTCTTGTCGCTTCAGCAGCTCAACCAATTGGTATAAAATTCGCAACCTTTCATCGTATTTGGAATGAAAAAGGAAATAGACTATTTTTTCTCACTAATTACATAATAGTTCCTATTATTATAATTGAAATTTTATATGAGCGAATTTACAGCAAAAGATAATAACATTATTAACTATTGACTTGCGCTGCTTCCGTAAAAATAGAATTTTTTATGCAACTTAGAATGGCAAACAAGCTGACGGCCCACCTGATGGAAAGTGGTATTGTCGCCTATAGACATGAACAGTAAAATATATTAGTAAAATATGTGAAGAAACAGATAGATGTGTGGATGATTTTATTTTATACTATATAAATATAACTTACACTAATTTAATTGTAATTTAGGTGGGTAAAATTTAACTGTTAATTAACTTACTTATAATATGATCGTGCACTATATTGTCAGCTTTTTCTAGGATTAATTTTATTATGCAAAAATTCAATGTCACGATGTTTGCTCTTAATAATCTTTGAAGCCGGATTTTAATGAGATTTTATATATTATACATATATTGTTTATCCCGACAAGAACAAATTAACCCGGTAGGTGACGGTAGAGGGAGTCAAACAACGTTTGCGGGTCAGCTAGTATTATTATAGACACAGTTATTTGTTAGAATTGTGGACAAACTATTCAAAACGAATATTGCTGTTTTACTTAGTTGGAATTGGATTGTGGTTAAACTCGATTTATAGGTAAAAAATAAATATTTTCTCACCAGAATCTCATCATCGGGCACTCTAGAGAGCAAATCCAATATTTCGTTGTGCGGTATTCTGTTTGGTTGAAAGATTTTCTTTGTATATTTACGTATACCTGAAATTAATATTTGCTCGTGTTAAAAGCAAGTGGTTTGTTATTTGCTTTAAAATGTTTATTGATAGTTATAAAATATTAGAACAGAATAGAAATAATCTATATTCAAATAGACTTGTTTATGAGCTTTTTTAAATCGTCATTTATTTTGTGATTTCACTGCTGGATTCGGAATGTTCTTATCTTTTTTTTTATAACCACATAGAAGGCTATGTTCTTATCTGCTCAGAAGAACCTGTAAGTAACTCAACAGTTACTCTTTTCAATTTATTTATGTACAAGATTATTTAATTATTTAATGTAGTTACGCAAATAAGAATTGATAATTAATAAAATTGTTAAAGTTATTTTCTTTGTAAATATTTTATAAATAAAAAAAAAAAAATATCAATGTAAATTAGATTTGATATTCGAAATATACTAGTGTAAAAACCTATTTGCAGTTTGCATTTTAAATACTGGTAACTATTAGGTGTATTTTAAAATTGGTTCTTAAAATTAAGCTATAAAAAAATAAGTAAACTTACCCCAAGCCATAAATAAGTACTTTACTGGTATTAAGTACATTATAAGTGATATACCCAATAAGCAAATTATAGCGAAATGGCTTAGAAATGGCACTGAAAAATTGAACAAACTGGAAATAAAAGTAAAGATATATGTAGTAATTTCCATATTTCTGAACTGAAACTGTATTTTACATTTTACGAGCAATATAACAGTGCTTCAAATACAAGCGTTGCTAGATTATAATACAATATAAGCCATTTCCACTGTCGGTCAAATTATATAAACTATTATTAGAAAAAGAACAATAGATGCTTATAAAAATGGCCGCAAGTATGGTTCCCCATTTGCTAACACTAGTTTGAGGCTAACTGAGAGTTGGTAATCCAGGTATCTAGATTGTATTTTTGCTCAATCTCATCGAAATCTAGTTTTATAGTCAGTGGTGGGATCTAAGGCTATAATTGCTTTTTTTAAGCGTATTATAAAAAAAAACTAAGATTATGGATTAGAGCGAGAGAGAGAGAGAGAGAGAGAGAGAGAGAGAGAGAGAGAGAGAGAGAGAGAGAGAGAGAGAGACAGAAAGATAAAAGATCATTTTAGTCCTTATCACATACTTTATCCCAAAATAAAGGTCTTTCCATTAGTATTTTAAGCATTATGGTCAGGTTCAAGATTTAGTAAGGTAAAAAAGAATACTGAAGATTAAAATAAATAATTCAAATGTCATTTCGTGTAGTGTAATGAAAAGTAATTAAGTAAAATAAATATTAATTAAGAATCATTAGAAACTAGCCTAATTACTTACTTTTTAACACTTTCACCAAGGGTTGCAATTTTGCCAAGATAATTTTGTATATTTTGAATCAATTCTTGTAAACCTTGAATTTTTTGTCTAATTGAAGTTTTTTCCTCCTGTAGTAGAATATTATTTAGAATTAATTATTATATAATTTAAAATAGTATATTATAGCCATCATATTTATAAAATAATGATTTTTTCTATAATCACACATATTAAAATCATATTTATAATTCTTATTTGTTCTGTATCTTTTTAGAATTTCTCATTATTATTATATTATTTGTTCTTAGTTGAAAATTTAAAATAAAATATATTCATTATTAAAATGTTTGAAGATATTTATTCTAAAATTTTTACTATTCTATACAACTTTTGTAACATTTCAGTTACAAATAAAATAGAAAATGATTTAGTCAAATAGGTGCAGTCGTTTGAAGTTATGTGTTTAGAAACATTCGATTATTGACTTTTATTAATAACACCTACAAGTAGATAATATTTTTTGTTATTGTTTGACTCAGAAGGATATTATAGTAAATCTACCTTTTCTATTTTCGCACGATCATTTTCAGTTCCCTTCGTTCCGTTTCTTAATTTTACAGAATCTGTAAAAAAGTTTTAATATAATTTAATTATGTTAATCTAAGTATATACGTATTAATTTTTGAGATTAATTTTTAAAATAGACTTTTTTTAGCTAGAGTTTAAAATTTTAGAATAGGCACATTTATTTAGGTACTTTAAAGGACTAATTGCGGTTGCGAACCCATTTGCTAAGCGTGACAACTACTGACAAAATCCCCTCAATGGCAAGCTGCCATAGAGTACGGCCCCGTTTCTTATGACAGTTTATAGGGGAGGCCTACGTTGAGCAGTGAACAGATAACGGCTGATATGATGATAATTTAGCATTACATACATAACATGAACAATAAACATGACTTTTTCAATAAAATCTATATAGATTAGTAATGTAGTTATGAGTAAAAGGATATTTTCCAATATGTTTCGGTAGGATTTACTGAAAACTAAGTTCAACCAAATTTTATTGAAATTATCACAAAAACACTCTCTAAATGATGTTAGTAAGGAATCGAAATATTCAATCTAGTTTTGACTTATAACACTGCTGAATATTAGCAGTGCCATTTGGTTGGGTCAATTATTCATTTGTTTTTTTTTAATGTCCGGTTGAAACAGTGTATACAACTATGTTATAGAAATTTATTTATTGTACTTACCCTGAAATAAGTTGTATTCCTCGGGACTATAGTAGATGAAAGGTATTAATAAAAGTAATGGGATCATCCAAGCTTCATAAAACCAATGGAATAGTAGCCATACAATTAGTGCTATAGTATTTAATTTTCTTGATTCCCATTCGAATGAAGATCTAGAAATGATGTTTTTATTCAATAACTTTACTCATGATAAATGTATGTAGTAAATTTATTGTTTTATATACATGTATATTTTGATACAATATAACAACAAATGTTATAGGAATGTTAATTTAGAATAAGTTAAATCATAAAGTTATCCCTGAATCCTATAAAAATAAATAAACAACGCTCGAGATATAAAAACAACACACAAAACAGTTTTTACGTGGTGTTTTGAATTTGGAATAAATAACCGGTATTTTGCAATTTTAACAAAAAAATAGTTTAGAATTATATTATATTAGAAGTTATCCGCGACTTTGTCTGCGTGAAAGGGCTTACGAGTATATTAACTGCCTGGAAAAAGTTAACTGTGTCCTTTATGTATGCCAAAATTGATTACAATTGGTTGAGCTGTAAAAGCACAAAGCGGAGAAACAAACATTTACCTTCATATTTATAATATTAGTGGGGACTATTTGACCCAGAAAACATTATTTTACCCCTACCACTACCTACTGGATCCATTTTTTCTATCTGTCACAAGTTAAGTAAGCAATTTACATTTACAACATTTCATTAAAATAGGTTGAGTTTTCGGAGTTAGTTAAAGGATATTAGTGTGAACAAACATTGTGACACAGGATTTTTATGTATTAAGATAAGGTATAATGAAGTCAAGTCTAACAACAAATTATTTTCAATTAAGTTAAAAAAGAAAGTGGTTTTCAAATTTTTTATGTTATTACCTCAAAACTGCGTTAGTTATAAACCGATTAGTAAAATTCTTTTTTATTTAAAAGGATAATTTTAGATTGATCCCATAGATGTTTTTATCAAAAAAGGTTCAGTAGTTTGGTTTATGAAAATTATGCAAGTACATTTGGTTAGGAATAAGGCCACTTACATTCTTAAATTTTCGTTCGTAGTTCAATGAATAAGATCTAATAGAAAATTCAACTATGTTTTTGAAAGTTAAAACATTGGCCACTTTGAAGTGGTAGGGCTTCGGCGATGAAGTTTTTAAGTCTTGTTAGAATAAAACTACTAACTTTATAACTTTGTAAACTTCAAGAATCCAATTTATTATAGCTTTTGTTCTAGTCCAGTTTCTAGTAAACAGTCGTCTGTCGAACTTCTCTTCGACTTCTAGGTAATCGATTTCTCTTGGCTTTAATACTCTTAATGCAGCCTTTATCTGTGAACATAGGTATATATTGAATATTATTATGTTTTGAAATTTAATATCATTATAATTAAAGAATATATTTCATAACAAAAAGTGACTTCATTTGCGACAAAACTAGATATTTTGATTGCAGTTATTAGCACTATTATTAAGCCGATTTTGATAAAATTTCTATGGAATTAATCTGTAACTATATAATTTCAGATAAAAAAATAATTTTCTAAATTGGTTTCGAACTGATAGAGTTATAAGGTAACAAACATAAAAAAAGAAATAGCGAAACTGAACTGAGAACCTACTTAATTTTGAAGTAGTATTTAATAATTACACAGATATTCTATTTATGCACACTTTTAATAGTATAAAAGTATATATGAGTATATAAGACTTTATAATATTGAATTTTCGCGTTGTTCATACATATTCTACCTGTTCACTATCGGGGCTTAATGCGACACGATTACACGTAAACAGAAAACACCTGATTTACATTACGTCGCATCAAGTCCCGATAGTGTATTTAAAACAGACTTTTTGTTGTAAGCAATCTTCTCTTTTCATTGTTTCACTACTACTACTACACTATTACTACTACCACACTACATCTACTATAGTTTTTTTAGTTAATTTGAAACTTTCGCGTTGATGTGTAATATTTTAAATACACTATTAATTACTTAATAGTGTATTTAAAATTTACTTCTCATCGTGTTAAGTCTCGTTAGTGTATTTAAAATACTAGTTTTTTTTAAACCGGAAAAAAAAGCGGATAAACCCGACAGATGTTGTTTTGTCAGAAGATACCGAACTGTAGATATGTTAATTAATAATAAATTTTATTTGGCTTACATAATTTCTTCTCTTAGTACATTAGACGCACAGTTTGTTTTTGATCGATACGTTTTTTGATTAACATTTGATTGAAATGTTTAAATTGGCAGTAAGGAACAGTTTGTATGGAAAAAGAGAAATGGGCTTCCATGTTCTCCGGGCAATTTTTCCAATTATACTCTTAATTTCTTCTCTTTATCATTCTTCGGAAGTAAATGAAAATTTGAAAAGAAGAAACAGTCAAATTGGTTCTTTCTCCAGTTTTGTTCTTTATTTACTATATTTAATGATTCATTTTATTTATATACATAGATATGTATATTAAGATGGATTTTTACTACAAATATTTCTTCGTTTTGAGCTCAATGATATTGCGACCTTATTTCAAGAGTCATGGTCCCATCAGAGATTATACCAATATCATCATCATCATAACAGACATTAATGATTCATTACTGGACATAGACCTCCTTAGGGGATTTTACTAGTAGTTGCCACGTTTAGCAGTCCGGTTGGCAACTGTAGTTAGGCTTTGGTGGTGTTTTATGAGGAACACAGCTGCCTATCCTTTGACCATGAAATTTCCTTAATCGTCTTTCACAACATCCACGGGAAAGAATGGGGTGGCCATTCTATAGCGGGATTACACGGCATCTAAATTAAAATATAATGTAATCTGGTCTTGTTAATAATTTTATTAAGTGTGAACGTAACGTAATAAACTAAACAGTTGTATTAATATTTGTTTAAAGTACATAAACTTACAGGGTTGTAAGATATTCTCATCTCTAGCAGTATTCTTGGATTATTTCCTTTGGCTTGTTCTCTCTGTGTGACATCCTTGAGCGCATACCACACTTTGTGGCCATTATTTATTTTGAATAATGGTATTGTTATACATCCAACTTCTTCGTTTTTCTTCTCGTCGTATACCGTTACTTCTAATAAACTAGTAATATCAGTTATTGTGCTAAAATGTAATAAATACTCAATTACGATATTTGTCTTTGTCTAGGTATTTGTACATAGGCTACAGAAACTTCGTTTACTATCAGACTGGCCGTATGCTTATTTGGCATCTAAGAAGTATGAAAAATATATATAAACTATTTAGTACTAACAACTACTACTATGCTACAAGCTATGTTTAGTTTGGAACTAGATGGCGCTGTGCAATTTGTCTAGCGCTACATATTTATTTAATGTACTAGTCCTTTGCCTGTTACTTTGTACGCATAGTTTTAGAAGGAAAACGAATGAAATTGACACCACATTTTAAGTTAGGTCTCCAGGAACATAATTTTAAAAACCATATCTAATTTCGTGCAATGGCTTTTGCGTTATGCCAGAACAATTATATAGATAGATAGACATACAAAATTTCTAATTTTTTATGCAAACTTAGAATGGTAAATAAGCGATCCATCAATCAATTATTGTTGTTTTGATTTTATTTATTAAAACCTCTCATATTTTTTTATATCTCTCTTATACAGACGCTTGTAACTATATGAGTTACAATTTTATTATTTTTTTTAAGGTAAACTTTTTTCTTATCAACTTACAAAGTAAACGCCTTCATCCAATTAGGATCGTTCGTTTTGCAATCTGTGTACGTTTGGAGCCTTTCGTTTCCTAGTTTCAATACACAATAACAGTCATTTCCAGCTAAACCCTTAGCTCCATAAACAATTATTGACAACCATCCAACTTCAGTTAAGTTGTCTAGTTGATACCAAACCTAAACAGAAGATTTATAAAGTTTATTTTAGAATATTGAGAATAAATCAAATAAGAAACTTGTAATTAAAACCTTGCTGTTTTGGAATGTGAGCTGAAGCTAAAAAAATTATTGAAAACTGCAATCCGGTTTGGTGTAGTAGTTTTACCTAATTGCGGAACAAAACTATGAATAGAGAGACGGACAGATATGGATGCTAAAAAATATTGTTTAGGAATTTTAATAAGAACCCTAATTAATTTTTCTTAAAAAAATTCTATGTACAGACATCATTTGTTTAGATACCATTTTATAAAATTAGTATAAAAAATTACATGTCCACTACAGCAGTTGAACTCATTGTTCATCATAAATGGTAATTTTAAAGACTTACTTATGGTAGAATGATAGAGATCTTATATATTATTTTGTATAAATGAAAAGGAATATAAGAGTTTGTATTATTTTTTAGTTCATATAATGATTCTAATTTTATAAATTCTGGCTTAAATTAGAAGTCATTAGTAATTGATTACGGTCCGAGCCAATTTATCACGAATCTTTTTTCAAATAACTCTTGTCAGGTGTTCTAGGTTATATTTCCAGTACTGTAATTAGAATAGGTGCAATTTTTAAATTGAAGGTGAGTGTAGTATAAAATAAAAAGAAAATTAAAGAAAAAAAAAGAATAAAATAATAAAGGCAATACATTATTTTTTCTTACGGTTTCCAATCTTGTCTGTGTTTCTTCATAATCACCTAGATCATAAATATTGTTATCCGTAGTGGTTCCAGTGATTGTAAGTAGAAGAAATAATTTAACATTCGGCATTTCACCTTCTAAATCGATATTTATTTTATGTGTTTTCTCTTTATCCATATCTGATAAATCTATAACACGCCTGTAATAAAAGGCAAAATCAAATGAAACTGACTTAATTTATAAAGTAAAAAAATTTAAAATCGATTATTGTAACTGTTAAAGTGTGCCCTTCATAGTATTAGGAAAATAAATAAATTGTAATGTGTCTGTAAGAAAAAAAATGTAGGTACTCATAAAATATTGACGATTTAAAAACATGTAATATATTGGAAATTAAACAATAAAAAATTGGGTTGCTAATATTAAGTTGTAGAATGATAGAAAGCATATTACATAGTATTCTTATTAAATACACAAATGTAACCAAAAATAACAATCGACTGATTATTTAAATGTAGTTAATAACATAAATATATTATAATATATTCCATCTCAATTTAAGATTATGGACCCTAAAATTAAGGATGGATAAACGGAGATACCTGCCAATAAAGAAGTCCTTATCCCAAAGGGTTACCTCGAGCATACTTTCTTCATACATATTTAAATTGAACAGTTCTTGCCATTTTGCCTTACTTGCTATACTTTTCACAGTCTTAGATTTGCATTTTTCTGTGCCCAATCTGCATATAGAAAATCAAAATTGTTACGGAGTTTTGTCATTATTATTTTAACATTCTACAAAGTTTTGAGATTTATTTAATGTAAAAATATTTTATAGAATTTTCCTTTTTCCATAATTTCTTCTTATAATATTATATTATAAAGGTCAAAGATTTTATTTTTATTATACTATATTATTACTACACTATACGATATTAATACTTAGCCGATTTTAAAAATTCTTTCTTTTATAGAAAGTTAGAATATCAGATTTTTTTAACAATATATAATTATTAAACAGACTTGTTAACTATTTGAGTTCACTTAATTGAATAAATTCAATTAAGTGAACTCAAATATTCTATTTGCATGGGATTTTTTAACATTTTCAGTGCTGGTGTTTGGTGTAAAATTTTATAGTGATTATTTTTTCTAATGTTCAGTTGTCTTATCACTCATAATTACATTAGTTCTATACATCAATTAGTTAATCGAGTTTTCCTTTTAGTTAAATAGATGAAAAAGATAACATTAGATTAATTAACTTTTTCGCTTACTTGAAGCGGCAATGGAGATTGCGCGGTTTTTCTTCAATATTGTTTTGTGCATTATCTAATCCAGTAACTTCGATTAATGCAATTGTTACAGTTGCCAATTTGATTCGTTTCAATAATCTTGAATCGTATGTCGCGTTGCTTAGTATGAGCTATGATTGAAAAAATAAAATAAAGAATGTAAAAATAAATATGTATTTTTTAAAAAAAAAGTTTGCAAAAATATTTTATAATTTTAAACTTGATTATTTTAATTAGGATATAAATTCAGCATTTACAATAAATAAGAAGTAAAATTAATAGGTGCAGGTTATGATATAAGTATAACAGTTTTTTTTAGATTACTTTATGGCGATGCAAATCTATTTACTTTTCTTTAGGTCTGTATACCTAATAGAAAATAAAAAAAAGGTTTCTAATTTTATTATTGTCAAATAAAGTTGTGTTTTTCATTAATAAACGCTCAATTACTTAGAAATGTAAATAACATTTAAAAGCCGAATCAAAACAAACAATTTAGAATAGATTGTAAATATTGAAAAGAATTCGTAGTACGTAAGCTGAGTGAGTAACGTTAAATGTAAATACAAAAAGACCTTTTCGAGTCCCGCCCCTGTGTCCTTTGTTTCTTTCTTTTTGTCTTTAGTATATTTTTCCTTTTCCTCGCGACGTTTTTCTTTGACAGCAGTTATTCGAGAGCCGATTTTATTACGGAGAGAAATTCTTGCAGGCGGTGTAGTGGGCGTGAGATTGTCGTCACTTCCCTTTTCTATTTCATTTAATCTGTAATTTTAATTATTTGTTTGAAATACTAGCAGTATAGTATTTACACACGTATCAGGATTTGGAGTTATTCAGATTACTTGGTGATACGTCACAGATATTTTCACTTTTTATTGTATTTTTATATAATGTGGATATTTTTTTTTTTTGACCAACTCTAGAATCCTATTACAAAGATGTCACAGTTAATGTACAGTCAACAGTAATAACAATTCTATAACATTCTCAAACAGTAACATAGAAAAATTAAAAAAAAATCTTGACATATAGTTTGGTTTCTAATTTAAGAGTACAAATTTAGAACTAGAATTATTTGCGTGTAAATAAGTCTATTTAGACTTATTTATACACTACAATTAAAAATATTATAAATATATTAAAATTGTATCTGACATACTATCTATATTCTTTTTTATTAGAACAATTCTAACAATAAAGCTCCTAACATACCAGAACGAAAAGACTTTTTAAAGATTCCAATGGTTGAAAAAAGAAAAATGTTAAAATTTCTATCCGTTTCTTATTTACATCTTTTATGTGTATATATTATTATTAATTATTATAATGTTTATACAATTTTTTATATTCATAAAGTTATGAGCATTTATACATCATAAATTGAAAATATAGCGACAAATATTTTTTTTTTACAATTAAGATAATCTTTGTCATCAAACAGACTGCGTTATATACATTTAATTTTATAGTATTTTACTATACCTAAGTGTCAAATGGTACTTTTTTAGGCAACAATTACTTACTGTATAATTCTCAATGGCAAATTATTATTTCCATTTGACAATTTAATCTGTTTAGGACTACAAACATAATATCCTTCACTTAATAAACTTCCAGAGTATGATCGTGATATGCTTGCTTCTTTAAAATTTACATCTTCTAAAGTAGCCTTTCGATTATTTACATCCTCAACAATGATGCTGTGTATTAAATTATGAAAATCATTATTATGATCATCAATATACATTTCATTGTTCTCGGTAAGATCAATGGCGCTGGCATATTTTAGTTTGTTAAACAATTGATTATCACTAATTGCGGCTAATGATTCCACCGATTTGGATTTCTCAAGTCTTCTTTGAATTTCACTATATTTACTTTGTATTTTTTCATGAAGTCGCGAGAAATGTTTTCCCCTCAAAGCATTGTTATCTCTCGACTCCATTTTTTTAGCACTGCACTTTTTCTTTTTTTTTTTTTTGTAATAAAGATCACTCAGAATATTGCACACACATTTGCGGTTGAAACATATCTGTCGATGTATCGTGTAGAGGGATTACCTGTTCATATCTTATCATTAACGCAGTTATTGATTATTTTGACGAATTCATTATCACAATATTTTATTAACAGACTTAATGGAATATATTTGTTTGGCGAGAACTTTGGTTCAAGGATGTGCATACGTTTCGAATAAAAATAGGTTGAAAACATTTAAACAAATGATTGATTATATATCCATAATCGATCACTTATTTAAATTTAATCTAAATCAATGACTAAATGCAATGTAGGTAGTAAGTATGTGTAAGTAGATTAAAATGAATTCTGTGTTTGATCATATCATATTTGCATTTAAATGTGTCCTTATTCTTTGTATTAAGAATTGACGTGAATTATGACGATTCGTGATACTTGAAGGAGAAATGTATAATCATAAGATAATAGTGGCTGATATCTTTATTGTTGTGTCTTATCACTTATGTTACCGAAGATGACCTATAGCCTGTTTTGAAACAGACAGATGGAAGGTAGAAATTATATAGGTAAACAGGTGGGTCAGAGGTACCCAAGCACACGACTTCTGTACATAGACTTCTCAGGTTATTATGAACAAAAAGGACATATACACATATTTAAATATAATTTTTTTTTTGCACAAATAGAAATGTGAAAGTGAGTTTATTATCTTACAGTGTTTTAACAGCTTAATCAATCATTATAAAACTTGGTGTACATGAAATATATGCGATGGAGAAGAATATAAGTAACTTTTGATTCGGGTCAGTAAACATATCCCGGTCATGCGGACGAAATCGCGGATAAAAGCTAGTAAAGAATATAAATAATATAGTTACATAAACATTACTCCATTACACCATTTACTGTGGTAGAGCCACGCTGTAATCCTATATGGTATTGCAGCATGAATGGGCCGGCTCGACCGGGGAAGTACCACACCCTCACAGAATACCGACGCTAAGTGGTTGCATTTTTAGTGCGATCACATTCCGTATGGTGAGTGAGGGAGTCCGGTGGCCCATCCCAAACCCATCCCATACCCATCCCTTTCCTATTCCTAAAATCCTTTCCCCAACCCCGTCCCCCTATCTTACAACACGCAACCATGGCAGTGGAATTAAAAAAAAATAACATACCCCAGGGAGGTACCAGTAACCATGTTGCTGGAGAATCCTCCCTCGAGCAACCACGCTCGGGCTGCCCTGCGTATTCTGGGGGGGGCAAAATTCCGCTCTTTGGAACCAAGGGCAAACGGAGCAATATTTCTACGGCATCCCCTTCGCTCAATGTGAGCTTCTGCAACATCAGGGGATTACATTCTAACCTAAACGCTGTCCACCACCACCTAGAAACGGCGCGGCCGGCATTGCTCTTTCTAACGGAGACACAGATATCCTCTCCAAACGAAACTTCATACCTGACGTACCCGGGCTATAAACTTGAACATTGTTTTGTTTCGCGTGCCGGTGTATGCGCGTATGTCAGAGAGGATATCTGTTGTCGCCGCCTTGGAAGTCTTGAAGGAACGGACCTGTCTATTTTATGGCTGCGTGTAGACTGCAATGACCATCCTCGCGTCTATGCATGCCTATACAGGTCCCACAGCGGTAACATCGAAACCGACCAACTCATTGAGCACGTCCAAATGGCTACAGATTCCCTGCTCGAACAGATTCCTTCCGCTGAAGTCGTGATTCTTGGCGATTTTAATGCCCACCATACCGAATGGCTTGGTTCACGTACAACCGACTATGCGGGAAGATCTGTTCATGACTTTGCTTTGGCTTATGGTCTGACGCAGCTTGTTTCCTCGCCCACGCGAATACCTGATGTGTTGGACCATTCACCTTCACTGCTGGACCTTCTGCTGACCACCCACCCAGACAACTATGTGATTTCCGTCGAAGCTCCGCTTGGATCGTCGGATCACTGTCTGGTGCGGAGCGAGGTGCCTCTCATGAGTCCGATTCCACCACGTTCTACGGGTAGACGTCGTGTTTGGCACTACAGGTCGGCAGACTGGGATGAGATGCGGATTTTTTTCGCATCTTACCCATGGAGGCAGGTTTGCTTCGCACTGGGGGATCCCAACGCCATCGCCGATTCCATCGCCGATGTGGTGCTCCAGGGAATGGAATTATTTATTCCTAACTCTGTGGTACCTGTCGGTGGGAAATCCCAGCCCTGGTATGGAGCCTCTTGTAGAATAGCATCTCGCCTGAAACAGGAGTGCTTCCTAGCCTGGGCCAAAGGTGTGGCATCGCGAGATTCTAACATCAGTGCCCTTAAAAAGAAGTATAACTTTGCCTCTAGGTCCTTCAAAAGAGTTTTGGCCACAGCGAAGTCAGAGCATATTGGTAGAATTGGCAAGAGATTGGCTAGTTTACCTTCGGGATCTCGAGCTTTCTGGTCTCTTGCCAAAGCTGCACAAGGGAATTTCTGTCAGTCATCTTTTCCACCATTGCGCAGGGAGGATAACTCGTTGGCTCTGAACGCCAAAGAGAAGGCCGATCTCCTTGGATCTCTCTTTGCATCAAACTCGACGTTGGATGACGGGGAGAAACTACCGCCGACCATCCCGTGTTGTAGGAGCTCTATGCCGGATGTTAAATTCACGCTAAGATCAGTGCGTAGAGCACTTCTCTCCCTTGAAATCCATAAGTCGAGCGGGCCCGATGGCATTCCTCCAATTGTGCTTAGGACGTGCGCACCAGAGTTGGCTCCGGTTCTTACGCGTCTTTTTCGGCTCTGTTACTCATCAGGTATAGTCCCAAAGTTTTGGAAGACTGCTCTGGTGCATCCGATCCCTAAAAAAGGAGACCGCTCAGATCCAGCTAACTATAGGCCCATAGCTATCACTTCCTTATTCTCGAAAGTCATGGAATCAGTTATTAACCATCAACTGCTCCGGTACCTAGAGGATCGCCAGCTGATCTCAGACCGCCAGTACGGCTTTCGACGGGGACGCTCGGCTGGTGATCTTTTAGTTTATTTAACACACCGATGGGCAGTGGCAATCGAGAATAAGGGAGAGGCCTTAGCTGTTAGTCTGGATATTGCGAAAGCCTTTGATCGGGTGTGGCATAGGGCACTAATCTCAAAACTACCTTCGTTTGGGTTGCCTGCGAGATTGTGCAGTTGGGTCGCCAGCTTTCTTAACGAACGTAGCATTAAGGTCGTAGTCGACGGAGCATGCTCTGACTTAAAACCTGTGAATGCTGGTGTCCCGCAAGGCTGTGTACTATCTCCAACACTGTTTCTTCTGCATATCAATGATATGTTACATATCAGTGATATTCATTGTTATGCGGACGACAGTACAGGAGATGCATTATACACCGGTCATGCAAAGATCTCGCGGGCACATACCGATGAGCTCCGGAACAGACTTGTGTCTGAAATCGAAACTTCACTCGATAAAGTTTCGATTTGGGGTGAACACAATCTTGTTCACTTTAACCCTAAGAAGACACAAGTCTGCGCGTTCACCGCAAAAAAGACACCGTTTGTCGTATCACCTCACTTTCAGGGCACTTCCCTTGATAATAAGTCGAGTCTGGGGATTCTTGGCGTCGATATATCTAGCGACGTCCAGTTTTGCGGTCATCTGGAGGAAAAAGCTAAGATAGCTTCCAAAAAGTTGGGGGTGCTCAATAGGGTGAGACGGTATTTCACGCCAGAAAACCGCCTGAAACTGTATAAAGCTCAAGTGAGGCCACACATGGAATACTGTTCTCACCTGTGGGCAGGAGCGCCACAGTACCAACTCCTTCCGTTAGACCGCATTCAAAGTCGGGCAGCTCGAATTGTTGACGATCGGTGTCTTACTGTCCGGCTCGACCCACTGAAACTGCGTAGAGATGTTGCATCTCTGTGCATCTTCTACCGAATTTATCATGGGGAGTGCTCTGAAGAATTGTTCGGATTGATACCTGCTGCAGATTTTCACCATCGTACAACCCGCCATAAACTAAAATTTCATCCCAACCATCTGGACGAGTGGCGGTCCTCCACCGTGCGTTTTTCAAGGCACTTTCTTCCACGCACAACCACTCTTTGGAATCAACTTCCAGCAGCAGTATTTCCGAACCGATACGACAACATAACCTTCAAGAAAAGAGCATATTCCTTTTTAAAAGGCCGGCAGCACACCTGCAATGCCGTAGGTGTTGTGGGTGACCATGGGCGGCGGTAGTCACTTACCATCAGGTGAGCCGCATGCTCGTTTGCCCCCTGTGTTGTAAAAAAAAAAAAAAAAAAAACTCGCAAGATTTTTTGCAGTCGAGTAAGAACCAATTGAATTCTGCCATAGTTTAAATTGAATACTCTATAAATACATTGTATAATGCACTTGACATTTGATTTATATTAGATATCATTATCAGATTGTATACCTATCATTCTTAGTAACTTATCTTTTATATCATTATTTAGTTATAATGACTAAGTTTAAATTGCAATAAATAATTTGAAATATTATATAATTTATATACATCTAGATTACTATTATATATAAATTTAATATACTAAATAATTTATTTATAAGAATCTGTACTCATACTGTAATATGTATGAAAACGTTTTAAGTATGTCGTTTGAAGTTTTAAACCTATTAATTAAGTCTTTTTGATATTTATTTTAATCGATTAATTTTAAACGTTGTAACTATGTTGTTTCAAGTATTAAACGTTTTAATTATGTTATGTCATTTTAAATAATTCTTTATGACATCTATTTAGAATGGCAAGGAACCTGACAGCCTATTTGATTAGAGGTGGTAGCCGTTGCTTTTGACAGGAACAACATGATTTCAATATTTCTGAATGATTAAATGATTACAATTAAGAGTTTTTTTTAAGTTAGTTTAGCGAACTTACTCTTGGAATCAGAGACAGTTAAGTATATAGTAAGTTATCTGAGTTTGCAATGGATTTTTATTAATCTGTCACAAAAAAATTATCATTTTGTTAGAAAGTATTTAAAAATTTTAAAGCAAAATATAAAGTACTGGCAAAATATTTAGTAGTAGATTTAAAAAAGTAATATTAAGGGATATATTTCATCCATATTTATATATTAAATACCTATAAATTATGCGTTAAATACCTACAAATTTTGTATTAGGTGATGTCGGTGGTGTTGTTATAGTGTACGTGTAACTGTTATAATTTTTCATTACAGAGACTGTCAGCTTGTTTGTACTACGGATATTAAACATATGAGAGGATTCAACTTTATATCAACTCACAATAGTACTTCGACCTAATAATAAACAATATAATCAAAATTAATTAAATAATGTTTCGATACTATCTTCGATAAATAAACAAGAACATACGGATATATGATATCAATAATACAGCTAGTAGATATAAATAGATAATATTAGTACAAGGTAGGTATATGTACACATGTATATAGCATATATAGGTAGTACATATATATAAGTAATTGTATCAAATTTTTAGTCACACGAGCCGACCTTTATTCTTTGCCTATTCTATCCTCACGGCAGGTGGAGAGCAAGAGGGAGAATGAAATAGTTCAATTACTTTTTTTTCAAACATTTTATTTTTTATTTTACTCTTAGTAGTTTAGTTATACTAAGAAATGACAAACTAACTATTATTATTACTGTTACAGCTTACAATACCTATGTGGAAGTATTTAATAATATTTGTATAAAATAAATTATGATGATACAGGAAAAAAATTTGTCTTTTTTTTATACAACTTAGAATGGCAAGCAAGCTGACTGCCCACCTGATGGAAAGTTGTAACCGTCGCCTATAGACATGAGCAGTACCATGGACATAACAGAGTATACTGTTTAGCCCATGATACCCTCCATGCGTTGCCATTCCTGAGGACTCGGGTGTTATTCCTCTGTACCCAGTAAATTCTATGAGTTTTAAAACAATTTTATGTAATTCTCATTGGTACAAAAACAAAAAAAAGCTCCGTCGAATTAAAGCCGCTAGCGACCTCTAGTTGTTTATAAACAGTTGTTGTTTATTATATTATCTATCGGTGTAAATTCCACCCTTATCCTTCAATGTCCGAAAAGCCATGTAACAAGGCCAGCGAAGGACTTAATTAATTTAAGGCATATTTTCCCCTCGTTGTTCTGTAATCGACTCACTGCTCAAGAGGTTTGTGGCGAGTTCCAAGTGTTATTCTCAATGTGATAGGGATGTTCAGCTATGGAATAATTGATCGATAAATATTATATTTTTTATTACACAAGATTAGTTTTACCTATAACTTTAATCGCTTGACCATTTGTTGATATTTAATATTGACCAATAATGTCAATATTCTTATTTTAAAAGTAATAAATTTTACTGATGAACGACAACAAATTTAGTAGATACATTAATTTAAAAATATCTAAATTTTGAACTTGGTATTGTGTTTACACATAATTTTATGTGCAAAAAGAAAAAAAAACGCCAGTTTATATTATTATTACAAAGTTACTATTGGTTGAACTAAAATGGGAGTAAACGTAATAAATAAATAAAAAAAAAATTATAATTGAAAAATTTCTCCCAACAAAATATTTTTACTTAATACGAGTATTGTCGAATATCAAAATAATAATTTCATCCACCACTAGTCTATATATAGGTAAATAAACTGATCCTCGTCAAGAAGTTTAAGGGCATCTCGGGATCGGTCATTTTCATACAACTGTCGACAGACCCCACCCGGCGACCCTTCGTGAAGGATTTGCTTTGAAAATATCGATGTGATAATTTATAGTTACATTGGCAACCCTCAGTAAACTTATTTGGCTTCTTCTACTCGTATTTCTTTGATGAGTTCAAAATAAATTTAACATTTAATATAATTGTTATATTTTATTAAAAGAGAAAGCTAGTTTTTTATATACTCAAGGGTTGAGACACATTGACTCGAATAAAATCAAAATTGATCAAGTTGAACAAAACTGCGTCAGTACACGGCTTACTGAATAGTGTAGGTATCGTTTTCATTTTTCTTTTCTATACTGGTACGAGATAACTACGATACGACGATGTAGCCGTCGACTCGCCTGTAAGAAATGATAATAGGATCAAATAATAGTATAAATATATTCTAAGCATTTCGAATTCGGTAATGTGCAAGTTGAGCATTTTTTACCCTATAATTCAGTAACATTTTAACAACATTTGACTCGGTAACGTAAACTTCTTTCAAACTTATAATCCTGTAAATTATGTTTTTATTAGCACATAACTTGGAGATAGCTAGTCCCTGTTTGTGTGGTTGATACGTTTTAGGTTATAGGACCGTAGTTTATTGTTTAAGGTATTTGTGTGTTTAAATTTTGTTCCATGGAATGCTATTAACAGTCGAAACTGCAACTAAAGCGAGAGTCAAGTGGGAGCTCACAAAAGGCCGGGGCCTTTTCGTAGTGCGGAGTTTTTAGACCATAAGAAACGCTGCTGTATGGATTTGTACAATATTGTACATTTGTGTTTGTTTTTGCATAGTATTATCTGTGGTTTTTGTAGCAATACTTGCATGACTGTATTTTGGATTTTAAAGAAGAGAAGATTATTAGACGCATGATATGTCACACTGTATTCTGTGTACAATGTATATTCCGTTGAAATTCATAGTGTCATTTATGTCCAAATTGTTTAATATCATTTATCAGGTGATTTCTCAGCTTGTTTCTCATTGCAACTTGTAAAAAATGTATGACAATACATAATATTAATAAATACTACAATAAAACTAGCATTATTTGTTTGTGATTTAAATTTTATCTGTGATTTTGTTCGTGTGAATAAAATTATTGAAAAGACGTTTAGAGTTTATTGTTTTTTTTTTTGGTTCGATACAATAATTAAATTGGTGCCCAAGTAATTATATCAAGTACATTCATATATTCAGTGTTGATATCTATGGATATACATTATCATATTTATGTATATGCTGTCTGTCTGTCTGCTGTCAGCACCTACGTTACAGAATTGTAACTTTTGCTGTCAAAGTTTGAAACTACTGCACTAAGAAGTATTATAATATTATAATTTGAATCAACGAATAAAAAATATGTATAAATTTCTAGCAAGAGTTATATTTTAAAATTAGAGTTTTTGAAATTAATATATAATTATTATATATATTATTAATATATATATTTACCAGAGAGAGACTTTGTACAAAAATTGAATGCTTGGGTAGCTCTGTCCCATTCGTGTTTCTATCGTGAAGCAGTTGTGTTTGCATGGTTGTGTTTCGGTTTGAAGGGTGGGATATGGCGTGAATTTACAGGGTACAAAGGAATAACACCTGAGTCCTCAGGAATGGCAACGCATGGGGGGTATCATGGGCGAAACAGTATGTGTGTGTACTGTTATGTCCATGGTACTGCTCATGTCGTCTGCTCATGGCGACGGTTACCACTTTCCAGCAGGTGGGCCGTCAGCTTGTTTGCCATTCTAAGTCGTGTAATATATATATATATATATATATATATATATATATATATATATATATATATATATATATATTATGTATGGCTGAAATGGGAATTATGACCCTCCTGCCTACTCTATCACTATATGTTGGCAGGGTAAGTGACGATAGGTGAGAATAAATCCAGGTCAGTTGGTCCATCGTGAAAAATCCACCAGGAAATATTTACGATAGTTTCTGCGTGAGATTGCGTGGAAGTCGATTTGATAGAGTATATTGCTAGCAATCGGGTCGCCAGTCCCCGTTTGTTACAACAACCTCCTTTAAATATATTCATCATTATCATTTCTCCGTCCACCGCTGATCATATCCCCCATAGACAGCTGCAGCCACTGACTTCCTGCAATGCATTTGAGGTCGTCACTTCACCTAGAAGGGGGTTGACCTCTTCCGTATTGGTTATCGGTTCTTCGAGATAAAATATATTAATAAATATTTTTTATATACTATAAAAGAAAGGGCTGAAAAAACGGTTTCTTCGTAATCCTACAAATAAGGTTAGTTTAATAAAAAGGCTGAAGGGATTTTCTAAAATAGAAATTGAAAATGTCGACTGATTTTTTTTGACAATCGAATCTCATTCTCCGATATGATACAAAACTGTGTACTCATGCGTGAAAGGTTTACTTAGGTAGGTTTCTAAGCTTGTAAGGGTGTGTAGGTAGTTAGTAACCTAACCCCTACAAGCTGACGCTACCAATTAGGATTTGCTACAATGAAATCTAGATTAATTTTAGATTACGAGGAACTTAAATGGAAATGAATTTAAGTAATATTTTTAAGTACCTAATAGAGGTAGACAGTAGATCTTTCTTATCACATTACTAGTCTTTTCGGTTATTACTCGTCACTATTCTATAAACTTAATCTAAGACGAAGACATTTATTTATAACTAGTAATCCGGCACGGATAGATAGAATTTTAGAAAATAATGTATTATAGCATATATTTCTCGCCGATAATCAAGATTTCTATAGGTGAAATAATTTATAAAATCGGTTGAGTAGTTTTTGAGTTTATTCGTTACAAACAAACAATCAAATCTTTTTTTTTTCATTATATTAGTAACATCATCATCATTTTCCATAGTTGGACATCCATTGCTGGACATAGGCCTCCCCCATAGACTGCCATAAGGAACAGTCCTGAGTCACCTGCATCCACTGACTCCCTGCAAAACATTTAAGATCGTCACTTCATCTAGTGGGGGGGGGGGGGGGTTGTCCTACACTGCGTTTGCTCGTATGCGGTCGTATAATATTAGTATAGATATTGGTAATTTTTTTTATAAAACTCTGCTTTGTTACGTCATTTAGAAATGTCGTATCAAAATAAATCATATATAAATTTTTAAATTAGATATTCAGGAACATAACAGTATAGCTGCATTTAATTTAGTACAGTGGTTTTTGCGACAGACATACAGATAGACAGACAAATTATCAGACAAAATTTCTAAAATTTTTGGTTTTGGATTGTATTGCTGCTATCAAAACCTCTTCCATTGTTTTTTTAAATATCTCCTTTGTACAGACATCGCTCAGTTAAAATTTTATTGTGTATATATTAGTAAGACCGTAGAGCCAATAAGCTTACGGTACATGTTAAAAACTGCGATAATTACGATGCAAATGCAGCTAAACTATTATATATTTATAAGGACGACGAGATAAATAAAATACATATTATGTTTTCAACATCGATTTACTAAATTTGAATAGAATCGACAGAATGCATTATATTTTTAATAGTAAAAAAGTATAAGTGGCCAGTACGTGCAATAATAAAAAGAGTTCATTCTCACATATTAAATTGATTCTGCACTAGTTACGTAGATAATCGTCGTCTATAGACATGAAAGGCACCAGTCTCTGAGATTTCGTGAATAGTCAAACGATTATTAAGGTAAATTTACATATTTCGATCATCTCTGTGGCGCAGCAGCAGGTACGTTGCTTTGTTTAAATGAAGTTCTAGATTCGATTCTCATTAAATATTTTTAGATTGACTCAGGTTTCAGTGTACACAAATGTACTCTCAGATGGTCGTTGGCTAACTAATGAACTGAGAAATTTCTAGTAAACCCTGTGTATCCTACTATGAGGATCAGATTGGTATGTTGACTGGCATTTATTTTTAGAATTTCAATTCGTTGTTTACCTTCTTTTTTTTTTGCCTGCGCTGTCGGTATAACTTGGCGTGGCACCAATGATAGATGAGGATAATAGATGAGGCAGGCCAGTCAGCCCATCGTGATGAATTCAAGAATTAATCACTATGGTTTCCACGGGAAAACGTGTGGACGTCAACCTGTTAGGTTAACCTCCACGCGGTTCTATTTCTTTGTGGGTACGTTGCTAGCAATGGGGCTGTTAGACCCTATTACTAACAATCCCTTTTCCCTCGTTTACACCTGACTTGTTACTGTATCTAATACTAGAGACAGGTGATTATTAATTCGCTATGTGTAGGCACTGTAATTGATTTAAAATTAGTATAGCACAGTCGTATCAGCATAAATTCGTAAATTCCCGTTGAATATTTTGAGAGTGAGCACGCTAATTCCGTGTAAATAGTAGTTAGAAGCACAAATCACATTTCGGCACCGCCGCTTAAGCGTGTAGCTAACCTAATATAGACCTAACCTATATAAAATGTCAAAAAAAATATATACTATTTAATGTTTTTTGAATTTATCTGTTTTGAGATTTCGGAGCAACAAGCAAGTAAACAAGAACTTTAAATACAAAGTATTTTGTTCTGCAAAAAAACCCGGACTTCGTGTGAAAATATACGTATAACACGAAAATAATCTGTATTGTTTGAAAAAAAAATTCAGAATTGGCAAAGATACTTTTCATTATCATCATATCAGCCATTTATTGTCCACTGCTGAACATAGGCCCCCCTTAAAGGGGGGGGGGGTTGAGTGTAATTGCTACGCGTGGTAGACGGGTTGTCAATCGCAGTTAGGTTTTGGGTTTTTTTTTAAAGAGACACTGCTGCTCATCCCTCGACCATTAAGTTTTTATACTTTATCTTAAATGTATTGTAGTATCGACATTACAAAGTTAGAAAATGTATTTTAATAACTAATATATTTCAAAGAAACCACATAATATATTATTAAATAATATTATTATTGACTATTCATGATGTTTCATTATTCATTTACATTGGTAATATGAAAAGATCAAACGAACCTTAGTTGAATCTAGCATTCCATTTGAAATGTAAATGAAAATATGATAACTGGGCCTTCGGAGGAGGCTGTTAATTTAATAAGAAATATATGTATTCGGTATCGGTTTCGATTCAAATCTGGGTCGAGATTATAATAATATTGAGTTGTGATTTTATTGGGAAAATTTCCTTTAAAAGACATACAATGAGTAGATAGAGCCAATATAAGTTACATTAGAGTACGGATTTCTTGGTACTCGACAATCCTTTTAACAAACTCATAAACGGAAAGGCCATATCAATCAACAAAGGCGCATTCGTAAGTCCCAATCGCATTTTTGCTCAGCTCACGTTTATCTCATAGGCTTTGTAGGGTGCGTTTATAAATTCTTCTCACGCCGTCCTGATCACAATTTGATGGCTGCAGAGGGCACTGCAGAAGTCTGTGGTATAGGGACGTCTCCCTAAATTTATGAGGGCTATCCACTTTTATTACGGATTGGACGAATGGGTGCAGATGTCCTCTATGTTGATAGAAGACAGCTTTTTTAAGAGGAAATAATTCGGGAAGGAATCGGGTTATCGTTATTGTATTATTCGTTTTTAGATTTACATAAGGGAAGTCGGGGCTGAGTTGGGGATTTTTATTTTATTGTAAAAAAAGACGAACTAACATAAATTGATACATTAAACTAAAATATTCTGGATATATATTTTTTTATATGTGTCTTATGTATTCGAGTCCTTTTCAAGTGAATTATGATATAATTTTCATGATATGTATTATTTTCATTTTTACAGTTTAATGAAATATAAAATAAAGAGATAAGTATGAAATTTAATGTTATAAAAAAAAAAAAACTTTAGTTGTGATTTTTTAGAGTAACGTTGATCTACTGAGTAACTATACTTCACATAGTTAATTTACATTAAGAAGGTAAAGTTTACATTAAGTACATATTATAATTTAGTTGGTTATTGTTGACTTAAAAAATAATTAAAACTAG